CCTATAACCCTGCGTCCCAGTCTGTCTCAATGTCTCCCCGTGACCCCGTGTCTCCCAGTGTCTCTGTGTTCCAGTATCTGTCCACAAACCATCTTTGTTTCCCTATAACCCTGCGTCCCAGTCTGTCTCAATGTCTCCCCGTGACCCCGTGTCTCCCAGTGTCTCTGTGTTCCAGTATCTGTCCACAAACCATCTTTGTTTCCCTATAACCCTGCGTCCCAGTCTGTCTCAATGTCTCCCCATCTCCCTGTCTGTGTCTCCCAATACTTTAAATCTGTCTCCTGTTGTCTTTCTCCCAGTGTATTTATGTTTGCCGGCCTCTCCAAGCCTCTCATTATCTTCAGTCCCCTGTCTGTGTCATCTCCCTGTTCTTCCACCTTATCCAATATATGTATCTCTGTACTCATGTTCTTCCCGTGTCTCTCTCTCTCCCGGTAGCTCAGCCTCTCTCCCTATTTCCCTACTTGTTTTTCTCACGCTCTTTTTGTATCGTCTTTCCCTGTCGCTCACCCTCTCTCCCGAGTCTCTCTCCGCTCCCCTGTCGACATGTCTCCCTCTGTCTCTCACCGTTGCCCTGTGGCTCATCCTGTCTCTCTCCCTGTCGCTCTCCCTGTCTCCCTCGCCTTCCCCTCTCCGCCAGATGTGTTCATCCTTTTTAGTGCAAACAGGAAACGCCACGCGCGCTTTTGCCATTTTTTCCTCTTTCCTCCGTCGAAGCCCCCACTCACATACACACTCAAGACAAAGACAAATATTCCCCGCATAGCCTGTAACAGACCGTTGGGGCAAGTGCTGTTCGCGAGTTGCACCTATTAAGGCTGGCACGGCACACGAAGGGGTGAGTGGCCAGCACCACGCCCGACCGCCTTTGTCTCCCCAATGGCGATGTGTTTACACATCCGCACCAGGTACTCAATTTAGGCTGAGTCGACCTAGGGGAGGCCCAGAACCGGTTCAGATATTCGCCGCCAATGTTGGCCTGGATCGAGAATCGAACTCCGGTCGCTGGGTGTGCAGCGCAGCGCGCTATCCACTACGCCACCGCTCCCCACCTACACACACATGTACACATGTACACACACATGTTCTCTACGAACACATACGTAAACATGACGCGAACACGTGTTGCGTGAATCCACAGTCACGTAAACATTGCTAGCGATGCACACCCAACCATTCAGTCTAAAAGCACGCAATTATTCCCATACAAACACACATGAAACACAAACACACAAACGTCTGATAAACAGCTCACACAGAGCACATTCCTGCGGAGGGAGCTGGTAGGAACGTTAAGTTGCTCGGTCAATGGCCAGGGTCAACGGCGGCGTGGTGTATTCCGCAAATATGCCCGACTGTGAGGGCGGGCACAAGCCGGCGTGAGTAGGTTAAACGTTGAGTTTTATAAGGGCACCACGGGGTGACTAGCCCCTCCCCACCCAGCCCATCCCTTCCCACCCCCTACCCAGCCCCACCCTCCCCACCCAGCCCCACCCCACCCTCCCCACCCAGCCCCTCCCCACCATCCTCACCCAGCCTCTCCCCACCCTCCCCTCCCCACCCAGCCCCTCCCTCCCCACCCAGCCCCTCCCTGCACGACGGACGGACGGACACAATAATCCCCTGTGGGCTGGTGTAACCAGGAGGTTCCTACCAGTATAAGCACAGATTTAAACATGCAGAGATGCGTACAAACGTAAACTTCCACTCATACACACGCGCGCACGAATGCACCCATGTAAACATTGGCCATGTGCCTCTGGGCTACATCAACTCGGCCTCACGTGTATACCCGGTGCAGTGTGAACATTAGTAATGGAGAGACAAAGGCGATCGGGTGTGGTTCCATGCCGATGCAGGCCTTTTTAGGTGCTCGCAAACAGCACTTGCGCCCAACAGCCGCTGTCAGCTACACGGGGCATCTGTGTCTGCGAATGTGGGTTGGTAAAGGCTGGGAGCATAGACGTGGGAGCATACAGTACAACAATGTATTTGGCCTACAATGTCCACCGCGTGACCCCACAGCAGCTGATAACAAACCTACGCTGTGCACGGTGACCACCCACCTATCCAGTCTCGAACTTGCTTAGCTTCCGAGATGCGACGAGAATGGGGACGCATTCTGGACGATGCGGTGACATGCTTGACCGGCAGAACTCTTTAGCTATGCACTCACCAGCGTGGTGAAGTATAGCCATTGGAGCTACGCACTTTTAAATCCAGATTGAAAACGAATTTCTTTAGAACCGATTATTATATCTTGAGTTTGTTGTCCTTCCCCGCACCTCCGATTAAGCACGGTTGGCCACGTACGGTGCGAAAGAAGTTCAACATACGTACAGTACAAGTAAACCCCTGCACCGGGGGTGGCCCTCATGCAGCCGTGGGTTGACAACGTGCTGTGCGTGCTGTGCGTGTGTGCGTGCTGTGCGTGGGTGAATAACTCTGGGGATGATGGACAAAGCTCAGACAGGATGCTCGTGGGGGGGGGGGTGGTATTTTTAGGGGGGAAGCGTAGGGGGTGGGGGGCTCGTTGGTCTAAGTCTAGAAATCGGCGAGAGTCCAGAGAAAGCTCGGGTGTTCCCTTTTCCAAAGTTGTACCCAACAATCTTGCAGTCGCGCGGCGGCGAGATGTTAACTACCTCGCCTGGTATACAGGAGCGCGTGGGTTCCATCCCGAACCCTGACGCCTGCTGCTGCTGTGTATTTGGAGTTTGCATGTTCTGCCCGTTGTCGCGTGGATTTTTCTCCGGATCATCCGGGGTTTTGTTTGCCTTTCCACATTTCAAAACATGCGTTCAGAGTACTGTATTTAGCTGCTCTAAATTTCCACATGATAAGCCACTTCGTTGAGCTATCATTTGTGGCCAGGTCGCTTCTGAAAAAGAGCTATATAGCTCAGTGGTAATTTAAAAAAATGGTTTTAAACGTTATTTCAGGGCGTTCTACATCATCATAATAAGCCATGGTCAATCCACTGCTGGATAAAGGGCTTCCCCAATCCGGCGCTATCCCTCACGATCCTACGGTTGTAGGATCGTGAGGGATGCCTACGAGCTGATTCCATTGCTCCATCTCCCCGAAAGGCCGAAACATGTCTTGGTTCCCACTTCGCCTCTGACCGTGACGTGTCCCGCCTTTAGCCCCCACGCATTGACTTTTGTTTTTACACTTTTGAGTGACGCCTGTAGCCTGTGTGCCCTCTGTAATCCACGTCTTCCTCTTTCACGGCTCTCAGTGTAATTCCAAGAAAGGTGTTTCTGTGCGCGCGCTTTTTAGTTTTTCGTTCTGAAATGTTAGCTCATGACCGCATTTCTGAGCCACATGTCAAAGGCGGGTAGCACACACAGCTTGGAGACGTTCTTCAATTAGACTTGCACAACCAAATGCTCGTCCTCGGAAATCTAAGCACATTTATTCAAGACGTTTTATTTATAAGAACACCATTAATTATGGTACATGTGTGAGTTGCTCACGTTCGTAAAGGGTTACAAATATACTCAACTTAAAAAATAACTTCACGACACTAACGGTTTACATACAGTCGGCCCTGCTGTAATACACCGCGTATTTGACACGAAAGATAATTTCCATTTTTTTAGTAAATAGTTTAACTGAGCATACACTCTCTGCTTGATGAGGATCGTCAGAGAAGTCTTAACCAGGCCAATGTGTTTTTTTTATTCTCAAACAAATGCCACTGGAAGAAAAGCATTGGTCCAGATGGGCCCTTTAGTTGAATGAACTAATTTTTTATTATTCCAATTGTGTGGTCGGTGTGAAGTCATCATGAAACCAATAATCAATTCTGAACTCCAGCGGAGTGCAAGTGCGATCGCCACGTGTTCGAGAGAAAGAGAATAGCCCGCGGAAGAAAGTATTACAGAACTACTTCTGAAATACCTTCAAACGAAATCGTAGAACTAGAATGATATATTAATTATCTCAGCTATTAAAAACCATTGGTCTACTTCCATATATGTTCTTACTCCCGCTGTGTTCTGCGTGTCTGGATCCGTACCAGGCCTTAATTTCTGCCGGGTCTGTTCTGGTCGGCGATCCCGGCACACCACATCCACAATATGTGTATTCAGTGCCGTATACGGCTCGGGCTGTGGCTACTAGCCACCACGTACCAGCCACCTAGACTCGAACCCTAGCAGGGACTCGGAAAATATATAAATTCGTAGAGAAACTAAGCCCTACTCCCGGCCGGTGTTACGCAGCACGTAACGGGTATTTGGGTGCACGGTGTACAAATATATTTTTACATTTTTGGCGCACGGGGTCTTGTTGACAAGGATCACATCCCCAAGTGCCGGAAAGCAGCGGCAGCGGCCGGCGGCAGTGTAAGTAGGGCGCGGAGAAGGAGGGAGGGAGGGAGGTGGTGGTGGCTACGATGAACTGGGGGACAGAGAGGAGAGGGTTAGGGGGTGGTAGAGAGGGGTAAGGGGATCGCGATGGACGGGGGGGGGGGAAGGGGATTGCAGAGAATGTGAGCAGGTGGGGGAGAGTAGGAGGGGGGGCATGGGGGGTTACGATAAAGAGGGGGAGGAGGTTGAGTTGAGACGAGGGGGGTCACGTTGGACTGGGGATTGCGAGCGGGGATTGAGAGGCGGGAGGAGGAGGAGGAGGGGGAGATTGAGTGAAGGGGATTGAGCGCGTGAGTGGATTGAGAGGGGAAGGATTTAGGGTGGGGTGGGAAGATTGAGAGGGTGGGGGTATTGAGAGGGGAGGGGATTGAGAGGGTGGGGGTATTGAGAGGGGAGGGGATTGAGAGGGTGGGGGTATTGAGAGGGGAGGGGATTGAGATGTGGTGGAGGTGGGGGTGGCGTCACGGTGGACTGGCGGATTGCGGGGGGAGGAAGCAGGCGAGGGAGGGATTACATGGGGAGCGGGGGGGGGGTCACGATGTACTGGAATTAAGTTGTGGGGGGGGGGCAGCGAGCAGGGAGGGGATGGAATGAGGAGGGAGGGAGGGAGTGGGAGGAAGCGGATTGAGGTGGAAGTGGAGGCATTTGGCAGATGTTGGGGCCAGAAGTCAAAAAACAAGTCGCGTCTCTCGCACCGTGGCCCCCCCACCCCAGCCTCACGCGGACGCCGAGGAGGGGCTGCTGATGACCGCCCAGCTCGGTGCCGGTTACAAGACACCTTTTCTGTGTGAGCGCTCCTGTCGGGCTCACAGCGCTCTTCTTAAACCTACTGGCTGGACGAAGAGCTCTCCGCGTCGCGCCCAACAACATGCGCGTCGTTTAACCATACTTCACCATGCTGGTCGGTGCGCGTTAGTTAGTCGGGCGAGGCCCAGGCACGGGTTCAGACTCGAACTCATGCTCATCGGGTGAAGAGTTGCGGGACGCGAATCCACTGCGCCGGCGAGCGGTGACTGTCGATACGGAATACAGTCTATAGCGTAGAACGTGCACGGCTTTAGGAACCTTTAGGAGGTTCGTGGTGGAGTCGACGAGAGAGAAGAGACGATGAGCGAACTTGGAACTTCAGAGGTGGTCGGTCAGCCGAAGCTGGAATCTAACCGCGACGCGGCGAAGCAAGGGGACGCAGACCAAGAGCCGGACTCGAACTCGGAGTTGTTGCATCGCGACCTGCAACTCATGCAGCGCGTTGGCGCGGGCACATACGGAGACGTCTTCAAGGTAGGCGAGCGCACACAACGCTGCCACGAGTCGTGAGTCGTGGCAGGGGTCCAGTTTGCGTGTCTCTCTCTCACCACTCACTCTCTCATTCTCCCCGTGGCCGCGTGGATTTTTCTCCGGGTCCTCCGGTGTTTCTCCCCCACCCATGGGTGGAAAAAACCCGATTTTTCCAGCGGCAGGCATCGTTGTTTTAAAATCCTTTATATTAAGTTCACTTGCTTTCTTGCTTGCGCGCTTACGACCGTGCAAATCTTTCGGTCGTTTTTAACCCACTTCCCGTTATCCAATCGAGCTGACATTTTGCACACAGACTCGTTGTGCGTGACAATTTATTTTCGTGAAATTTTTTTCTCCAAAATTTTACACTTTTTAGGATTTTTTTTATATTTAATTACCAATTGCTTAATGGTGGCAGGCAATCATCTGACCCATAGGTGGCAGCCATCTCAAGCCAGAGGACGAGAGGACTCTAGCCGCCACGTATATAAAGGATTTATAGTGAAAAACTTTGTTTTTACGGGTTAATTTTTTTTGTTTGAACCAATTAAACCGGATTTCTCCCAATCTCAGATGATCGGGTTTAATATAAAAGACAATTAAACCCGATTGTAAAAAAACCCGACTGTGCCATCCTTGCCCCCACCACTCTTCACGTTGAGAATGAACGTGCGTTTAGAGTGCTTGGCTGCTGCCATCAATGTGCACGTGATAAGCCACTTAGATGAGCTGTCCATTTGTTGATAGCCAGGTCGCTTCTGACAAAATAGCTAGTGTAGCCCAGTGGGCCTTACCTCGTAAAATAAAATGTTTAAATAGTTGTTAGTTTGCCATATTCTAAAGTTACCCGCAGATTACTCAATTGGGATTATACGGTGCATATCAGCAACCATCGCACCCTAACGGCAGACTTAATGCGACTTTTGCATGCGAGGTCCTGAGTCACGTTGTGCGACACAGGGACAGCTGCCACTTGGGGTGCCCTTTCAAATGTGTTGCAATGAAATCGTACAACGCTCTGAGACACCCCGGCGTATAGGAGGGAGCTCTATTAAAAACAAATGTTGTACAATTATTGCTGTATTCTTACGGAAATAATCATCACGGGGGAGTGGTGGTGCAGTGGTTAGCGCAATACGTTACGAACCCGGCGACCAAGGTCGAATTCCAGCCACGCCCAACGTCAGTGGCGACTTAAATCAGAACCGATCCACTTACCTCCCGCACTGACCAATGTGGTGAAGTATGGTTAAACACAACCCCTCACAACCGACATGGCGTGGGGAGCCCTTCATCCAGCAGTGGATGAACATTAGAGCTGACAAATATTTTAATTAAATCAAGAGAATGTCAACGCGTCTCTTTGCTCAAGGTTGGCAGCGCATTGAGATGAGTCAGTGATCAAAATGACACTTGCTCATGGTTTGGGCGAGTATCGCTTTTGGGTGACCGCTGTTGACTTCCCACAGAGTTTCGATTTAAAGCTTTCGTGACTGCAGGGATTCATCTTCTTGGTTCTTTCGGTAAAGTCACGTAGAAGGGAAATAATAAAATAATACAAATAAAACATAATAAAACAATTCTCACGACGTTTCGGCCACAACGCAAGCAGCCGTCCTCAGGTGGAGAACAGGTCTGTCGAGAAGACAGAGTCTGAATGACACACCCCAGGCTTGGAGCGTCTATTTAAGCTGGGATGGAGGGGGGAAGAGCGCCTTGACAAAGGAATTTGGAGGAATTTAGCATATTTATGGGAAATGCAAATATGCGATTAGTACTACTTGTGAAATGCGTAGGAGGTTCCCACAGAGTGGTGCTCGTTTTATCGACCCGGAATGGATGATGGACTGAGTCGTCCCTGGATTTTTAGCTCGTGACCTTTTTTGATTGTGAATCGGGTGGTCTCTTGGGAAAGCTTGACGGAGCCTGAGTATCCTGCTACACTGGAATGTTCAACCAATTCTCCGATTATTTATGGAGGAAACACGAGAGACTTGAGAAAAAACACTTGCCCAAGTGGGAGATTGTGGGTGAGGCGACGCTTTACTGATGAGTCTCAATAAAGTCTAAACTGGAGCATGGTTACCAGGCTCAATTAAATAAACAAAACTTTAAATTGGTCACAAATGATCGCTCAACAAAGTGGCTTATCATGTGGAAATGTATCGCAGCCAAATATCCTAAACGCAGTGCTGATGTTAAATTCAGCAGGGAAAAACCGGAAGACCCGGATAAAAAAAAACCACGCAACCACGGGGAGAACATGTAAACTTCAAATATACAACTGCAGGCGTCAGTGTCGGGATCGAACCCACGACCTCCTGTATACCAGGCGAGGTAGTTAACATCTCGGCACCGTGACGCCCACGACAGCTGTTATCCTTACATGTCACCAACATTTCCATCAGCCATTCTATTCACACAGTCGTTGCCATCGCTGACGATCTCGCGATGACTCGGCGAGCTGATTTCACCGCTCCATCTCCCACGGTGGTTGCATTCTCTCGGGCTCGTGTCCCCTCCTTTTGGCTGTCACTCCATCGTTCAGCTTCGACCCATGAGGGCCGTTATCCCTCCGAGCCACGTGTCCTGCCCAATCCCACTCGCACTTTTCTTAACAGTCAATAACATTTTAACACGTAGGCTTTCGCGACCAATATTATTCATAATCAACGTTTTTTGGGTTTAGATCGCGTTATTTCTAAATGTGTCGTAACCCTCCACCACCCGACACGGTGGGCTAAAGCGGTGCACTATTTGTCTTTTGTCAACGTGACACTTTTTTACTGATTGGCCGTGTCGGGTGGTGGAGGGTTACGACACATTTATAAATAACGCGATCTAAACCCAAAAACGTTGATTATGAGTCAATAACATGTCTCTCGTTTGCGTTTCGTCTCCGACCCGTGTGTGTTCATCCCCCTCTGTCTCGTTCTCTGTCTCTCATTGTCATTCCGAGTTTGCGTCTGACCATTTGACTTCGCTTCCTGGGACGTTCCTCGTCGCACGCAGCTTCGGGATGTTTTCATTATAAAATTTCAGTTCCATGTTTGTTTTATTTTCATGCCGATTCTCCTTGAAAATATGGAACGCGTTCGTCAATAACACTGTGCGGCCGTGAAATTATTTTGAAAAAAAAATACACGGCAGGCAACGTTTCAGGCAATGATCCTTCTTCCTCGGACATGATGTGCTCTATAATATCCAGTATATTCTTTTAAGCCGCTGTGCTATTGACTATTGTGTTACATAATCCGGAGAATACAGAGACAGTGCGTACGTTAGCTGACTTGTTTTTAAATGTATAATCCGCATCAGGTCCAATGGTGTAAAATGCAGTCTCTTCAACTATTCCTATCCACTCTATCGCTCTGTTGATATGCTATGAAGAACGGTCATTGCCCGAATCGTCGCCGTTTAAATATTTTTTTCTTTTAAGGCCGCAATCTTATCGACGAATTTGTTGAGTGTTGTTGTTTGTGCACGACTGCCAACGTAGAAGTAGCAGCAGCGTCACTGTAATATTTCGCCTTCGAAAATGTCAAATTTGTCTTTTTCCGATTGAGTTCCTCTGACAATTAATGCTCTTTTGTTTTGCAAACTTCGTTCCGTGTGTTTTTTGTATTTGCTCGTTTATTTATTGAGTCAAAACGTTTTTGATGCTGATCCTCCGTTTTCCACAATTTCCTGCAGTTCACAAATAATTCAATCACCGTTATAATGACGATCTCATCAACAAAGCTGAGATCTTTCGATTTCAAGCTTTCGTGACTGCAGGGATTCATCTTCTTGGTTCTTTCGGTAAAGTCAGAACCAAGAAGAAAAAAAAGCTGAGATCATGAACACTTTCCCCATGTTGGTTTACCGTCTCTATTTCTTCAGTCAAGCGTTGAGAACGGCTCGGCTTCAGATACATCTGAGAAAGAGACAAGTCAAGGCGTAAACTCGCTTGCTCGCTTGCATGTTGCGTCTTGGCACAAACTCCCGCTCCTTGCTCAACACCTCGCTCGAGGCTCATGCAGCACGGGGAACACGCGCTGCGGGTTGCAAACGCAGCCATCGTGTTTCTGAATGTTCTCTCTTAGGATTGTGAGGACAGGACAGATTGTTGTTACTCGTCTCGTGAAATCAATTGAACATCTAATCTTCTTCCTGGCATTTTTTCCCACCACGTGGGGGCGGGGGGGGGCGGGGGGAGGGGCTTCCTTGGTTTTGCTTCTCCACCCAGACCGGTCCTGGCCCATCATCTCCACGCCCGCTTCAACTTGCTTTGCAAGGAATTTAATACCTAACATTGTTTAAACATTGATTTATGTTTGTGCAATACTTTTAATATCTCCTGTGATATCATTGGTTTTGTGCTGGTTTCTGTTCGCTGCATTGCTGTACTTAATTTTACTGCTTTTTTATTTTGTCATTTTTTAATGACCCTGGTTACTCATGAAAACGAGACGATGCTTGTCTCTTGAGTTCTGACCTGGTTAAGCAAAAAACCACGAAAACTTGGACTCCACAGTCCTTCATATCCCTGGTTCGCCACGTGGAGCCACCTCTCTCTCGGCTCTGCCACTCGGTCTCTACGCTGGTGCTTTTCCGCGTTCATCGCCTTCAATCTTCCGACGTGGAATTCTCGTTCAGCGTGTCTGACTTGGGCGCCACGAGTGCTTCATTGCAGTCGGGACGGTCTGGAACGCTCTTCGCTCTGTTATGTTTTGCACCAGTCTACATTAATCTCGCCTTATTCTGTCCTATGTTTGTTAAACCTGTTTATACGATTATAGGAATATAGGCTACCATAATATGAGCATTGTTATGGATAGGCATAGTGGTAGTGCATTTGCACCTCCTATTAGCACGGTTGGCTATGTACGCTGCCAAAGAAGTTCAACATACATACATTACTCCAAGCCAGCCTAATCCGCGTTCCATAGACCATCGAGTGACAAACTCAGCCTTGCGTGCCACTAACCCTACCGGTTTGTTCTCAGCCTGACTCAGATGGGCACCACCAACTCTTTTTGCCCCCTTCCCCGTCGCTTCATTCCTGAGATCCGGTCTATCAGATTCGTCTCGCGATGACATCTGCTCGTGCTTGGCTCACCGCTTTAAATTCCAGATTTGAAGCTTTCGTGACTGCAAGGATTCATATTCTTAGGTTTTTTTCGGTAAAGTCACGTAGGTAAAAAATAAAATTAAAATTAATAAAAGTAAAATAAAATTAAATAAAAAAATCACGACGTTTCGGAGGCAACACAAGCTTCCGTCTTCAGGTGGAACCGTCACAGCATGCTTGCTGAAGGTGATACAGACGGTTCCACCTGAAGACGGAAGCTTGTGTTGCCTCCGAAACGTCGTGATTTTTTTATTTTTTTTTATTTTACTTTTATTAATCTTAAATTTTATTTTTACCTACGTGACTTTACCGAAAAAAACCTACGAATATCACCGCTTTAAACTCCAGTCACATCTCCTCCTCACCCCGCGCACACAAAGCCGATTTGCACTCACATCTCGCGATTGAACTGGACTTACCACTCGACGTTCGACCCGCAATTAAAGTGATTACCCTAATGGCAAGTATTTAACCGCGCGCGACCTCATCGACAGCCGTTATTCCTTGATCATTAGCCCATCACACGCGACCTGGCGATAAACCGAAGTCAACCTATTGCTGCTGCTGGGTGGACAGCAGCTGTGGGAGGGGGAGGTGGTGGTGGAGGGGGGATTTAAGAAACTTGCACAATTGTTTCAGCTGCCGCGCCGGGAGAATCGAATCAAACCCGGCGACCTCTGCAGGATTGAGGATTGCCCAGTCCAGTCCGCTGACAATTTACACCCACCGACTGTAGCAGCATTGACCCCCCGGGTCTTCAATATCCAGACTAAACAAAAAAACAACCCATCCTAGGCGGGGGGTGTGAGAAACAAAATATTTGTGGCACGTTTACTGTTCTCCAAACCCAAATGTCAATGTGAGCTTGGCCATTATGAGATGTGTGTTATGTTAAGGGGGGCGGTGTGCGGGGTGGGGGGCTGGCCCTGGGGAGGGGGGCGGAGATAGGGAGGGAGGGGGGGAGATGAAGGGTGGGGTGAGTTTTTTCCTGCGACCCACAAAGCCATTGTGTTTGTGAGTAAAAATGGGCCATTGTTGTTGTTAGTTTCGCTGCTTATTTATGGAGACAATTCCGTTGAGCTGAGTGACGACGACTTCGGCTCGCCCCGCTGCGGCCGCGTACGGTGTTGGAAAACAAAAATCACCATCGCTTATCATCGTATTAATTAGTTGTCATCATCATCAGTCGTGATCAATCCACTGCTGGACGAAGGCATACCTAAGCCGCCTTCATCTATCACGATCCGGCGATGTAGCGGCACAATTGTACAATAATTAATCAAATAAACATTCAGCACACTCATCAACAACACTGGCCTTGGAAGCAAATAAATATATAATTGACGACGATTCAGGAAATGTCCCTTCTTCATAGCACATTAAGTTGTGTTGTTAACTGTGCTTGTGCACCACTGCCAACGCAGCAGCACCTCATAAATAATTTAATTATATCATGAATGCATTCAAACATCAGCATCACCACTACCATCATCATCAGCATCACGTTCACCAGTCACCACCTTTATCATTTCACCAATCATCTTGAATTATCGTCGTTGCCAATATATAATCCTCAGCTTGGTCACCAACACAACCCATATGGGTTACGCCGTATTCTTGTGCAGGGAAATTGATTTTTCAAGTCCGTGCAGCGTACAGCCGTTTCAACACGGGCATTGTTTTATTTTTTATCTATTTGTGTTTCTCCATTGTGATGGGACTTTGTAGGATGAACGTTGAGATTTATAAGGGCACGGGGTGACCGATAAGATCTGAAATAGTCTGTAATGAGTTAGGTACTGATAAGGGGTTGACAAGTATGCCAACATCGTCTGCACCATAATCACTGCCGATATAATGAACATCATCAGTTTAACACGTAGGCTTTCGTGACCAATATCATCCACAATGCATTTTTTTAGTTAGATCGCGTAAATATATAAATCATCACCACCATCACCACTGCCATTGTTATGATCCTTGCTACCATCATCATCATCGTCGGCAAATTGTGAAACCACACACATGGTGTGGCTGCACAATTTGGTGGAAGTACAGTATATCAAAAGCTTCAACACGGGGGAGACAAAGGCGGTCTGGTATTGCAAGACCTCGCTCGTTTATCAAATTAATATTTATTTTAAAAAATGTGCTCGTCTTGCAAAACACTCGTAGACCAAGTTACTCGCAATCCAATGTTTTGAACACACCATCACCAGTCCAGAGATGGAATTAATAGGTCCTCATCGACAGCACTTGTTTCAACAAGCTAATGGGAACCTTTGGATATTGTGCGTGGAAGTGCCTATATATGTGCGGTAGTGAGGCTGTTAGCGCTACGCTGCGCTACGAACCCGGACACCCCAGTTCGATTCCCGCTCACGGCAAACACCGGTGACGATGATCTGAACCGGTCCTGGACCTCCCCTAGGTCGACTCAGCCTCAAATGAGTACCTGGTGCGGTGTGTAGTAAACATCGCCACTGGAGAGACAAAGGCGGCCGGGCGTGGCGTTGGCCACCCACCTCCTCGTGTGCCGTGCCGAACTTCATAGGTGCTCGCTCACAGCACTTGCCCCTACAGTCTGTCAAGGCTACACATAGATCTTTGTCTTTGTGCTTATGTGTGTGCAGGCAAGGCGCATTCACAGTGGACAGGTGTGTGCAGTCAAAGTTGTGAGGATTGAACCAGGTAAGTCCTAAAGTTTACCTCTGTGTGTGCATTTACGTCTGTTAAAGGCTATACGGGGGATGTTTGTGTGTGGGGATAGGTGGTGCAGTGATTTATGCGCTGTGATATTCGGAAGCCACTGGAGCTAGATTGAAAACTCGTTTCTTGAGAACTGCTTTTTGTGTTTAGTTTGTTGTCCTTCCCCCGCACCTCCAATTAGCACGGTTGGCTATGTACGGTGCGAAAGAAGTTCAACTTACGTGCATACAAAGGGGCTGTGGATGATACGATGAGTTGTCGATGTGAATGACCGGGGTACAAGTAATCCTCGCTCTGCAGGCGAGGAGCTGGGGGCGATGGAGCAGGAGATCAAGGTTTTGCGCGAGTGCGAGAATCACAACATCGTCGCCTTCTACGGCAGCTTCCTCCGGTGAGCACCGATCCCACACTTCCCAACGGGCTCGCAACATCAGCAACATCATCATCATCATCGGCAGCAACATCGCCGACAACATTATCACCATCAGCAACATCGTCGACATTAGCAAGCTGCAGCGTGTTCAAATTTCTCTGCCACGTGTCGTGACGGGCACTGCAAGATCCGACCGTGCCCGTCCAGTGCTCGCTGAGCTGCATTGGCTTCTGGTTGCCGAACGAATTACGTTATAAGGTCGCACTCATTGCACACACAGAGTGCCAGCCTCAAATGAACCACAACACCTTGCTGATCTCGTCAAGGAGCATAAACCATCACTCGAACTCCCGTCATCCTCGCTGCGGCTTTTGGCTGGCCATCGAACAAAGGCGGCCACTGCATCGCGTGCTTTCAGATGCGCTTCTGCGGCCGTCTGGAACGCTCTTCCTGCCGATATTACGAAGCCACTGGAGCTATGCCCGTTTAAATCATCTAGATTGACAAACTCCTTTCTTTAGAACTGCTTTTTGCCTTTAGTTTGTTGTCCTTACCCCGCACCTCCGGTTAGCACGTTTGGCTATGTATTGTGCGAAAGAAGTGCAACACACGTGCGCACATCGGCAGCAGCATTCGCATCCGTGTCACGGTCGTGATACGGGCGGCCAAGATGTGAGGTCGATGATTCCCCCGCTGCCCAGGCTGAATAGTCATGTCCTTGTGGAATTTTATAGGAGCGACATTTATTTATTGATTCGTGTTGTGTGTTGGTCTCATCATCTGTTCACAAGTCTGTGGAGGGTGGATGACCGCCGCGTGTGTGCATGTGTCTTTGTGTGGGGAGCGGTGGTGTAGCGGTTAGCGCGCTGCGCTATGAACCCGACGACCCGAGTTCGATTCCCGCTCACGGCCAACACCAGTGACGATTATCTGAACCGGTCCTGGGCCTCCCCTCGGTCGACTCAGCCTCAAATGAGTACCTGGCACGGTGTGTAAACATCACCACTAGGGAGACAAAGGCGGTCGGGCGTGGTGCTTGGCCACCCACCCCCTCGTGTACCGTTGCGCCTTCATAGGTGCTCGCTAACAGCACTTGCCTCTACAGTCTGTTAAGGCTATATGGGGGATCTTTATCTTGTGTTCATGTGGGGAGCGGAAGTGCAATGGTTAGCATGCTGCATTGTTAACACGACGACCTGAGTTTGATTCCCGCTCATTGTCAACATCTGTGGTGAATTTATGAACCCGTTCTGGACCTCCCCCCTCCCCTACATCAACTCAGCCTGAAATGAGTATCTGGTGCTTTGTGTACGGCGTGGTGCTGACCACCCACCCGATGATGTGCCATGGTTGATTTTCACGGTGGATCTTTGTTTACGTGCCTTTGTGTTTTTTGGTGTGTATGTGGGGGCCTTCAAAGGCACTCACGAACAGCACTTGCCTCAAAAAGTCTGTGGGGCTACACGGGGGATCTTTGTCTTTGTGTGAGTGCAGGCACGACGAGCTCTGGATCTGCATGGAGTTCTGCGGAGGAGGCTCCCTGCAGGACGTGTACCATGGTAGCCAGACATACCCACCACTTCTTCATCATCGCCATCATCATCACCACGACCACTACGATCATCATCGCGATCATAATTATCACCACGACCACTGCCATCATCATCATCACTGTCATCATCATCGTCACGACCGCCACCATCATCATCACTGCCCCATTGCTTCCCTGGAAAATATATATCTCAGAGCCTGCATCATATCTCTGTGTCCCTAGATCCCTGTATTCTTCACGTCCCAATGTGTCCTTGTGTTTCCCGTGTGTCCTCCGTGTCTCACTGCGTCTCCACTTGTCTCCGCGTGTCTCCGCTTAGTGACGGGCGGCCTGGCGGAGCGACAGATCGCCTTCGTGTGCCGTGAAACCATCAAGGTAGGGCCGGAGATTTGACTCCCTCTCTCACTTTCTGTCACGGTGGCGAGATGTCAACTACCTCGTCTGGTTTACAGCAAGTCGTGGGTTCTATACTGACCGTGACGCCTGCCGTATATTTGGAGTTTGAATTTTCTCCCCGTGGTCGTGTGGCTATTTATCCGGGTCCTCTGGTTGTTTTCCGCCACATTTAGAATCAACGTGCGTTTAGAGTATTTGACTGCTATACATTTCCAAGTGATAAACCACTGTGTTGATATATCATTTGTGTCCAGGTCGCGTATGAAAAATAGATATATTGCTCAGTAGGCCTTACCTGGTAAAATGAAAAATATTTTAGTTTAGTTTCCTCTCCTGCTCTCCCTGTCCCTCTCTTTTTCCCTATTCTTATCTCTCCCTTCATGTCGATCTCCATCTCTCGATATATCTCGCGTTCTCTGCACCTTTCTCTCCATCCATTTAATATCGCTCTCATTCTCTCACTCTCTTCCTTTCTCTCTCGTATGTTCTCTCAACCTCTCTCATACTCTGCTGTTCTTCTGCCTTCCTCTCCCACTTTCCCTCTATACTTTCACGCTCCTTTTCTTGATCTCTCTCTTACCCACTAACCACTGGCATGTCTCTCCCAGGGCTTGGCTTATCTGCACAGCAAGAACAAGATCCATCGAGATATCAAGGTGAGGCCGCTCACAGATCAGAGCCGATACAGAGCCACTGACCTCAAGGTCTTCGAGTATTATGTCAAGTGTAACTGGGGTCAACTCAGCTCAATAATAATCATCATCATCATATTTAATATCACCACCTCACATCATCAGCATCAACATTATCAATATCAGTAGAACCACTGTCATCAATCTGAATATCACCACCATCACCACAGTCATCATTATCAATATCATCATTTCCTATATCATTATCAATATCATCATTTCCTATATCATTATCAATATCATCATTTCCTATATCATTATCAATATCATCATTTCCTACATCATTATCAATATCATCATTTCCTACATCATTATCAATATCATCATTTCCTACATCATTATCAATATCGCCACCACCTACTTGGTCATGATCAATATCGCCACCACCTACTTGGTCATGATCAATATCGCCACCACCTACTTGGTCATGATCAATGTCGCCACCACCTACTTGGTCATGATCAATGTCGCCACCACCTACTTGGTCATGATCAATGTCGCCACCACCTACTTGGTCATGATCAATGTCGCCACCACCTACTTGGTCATGATCAATGTCGCCACCACCTACTTGGTCATGATCAATGTCGCCACCACCTACTTGGTCATGATCAATGTCGCCACCACCTACTTGGTCATGATCAATGTCGCCACCACCTACTTGGTCATGATCAATGTCGCCACCACCTACTTGGTCATGATCAATGTCGCCACCACCTACTTGGTCATGATCAATGTCGCCACCACCTACTTGGTCATGATCAATGTCGCCACCACCTACTTGGTCATGATCAATGTCGCCACCACCTACTTGGTCATGATCAATGTCGCCACCACCTACTTGGTCATGATCAATGTCGCCACCACCTACTTGGTCATGATCAATGTCGCCACCACCTACTTGGTCATGATCAATGTCGCCACCACCTACTTGGTCATGATCAATGTCGCCACCACCTACTTGGTCATGATCAATGTCGCCACCACCTACTTGGTCATGATCAATGTCGCCACCACCTACTTGGTCATGATCAATGTCGCCACCACCTACTTGGTCATGATCAATGTCGCCACCACCTACTTGGTCATGATCAATGTCGCCACCACCTACTTGGTCATGATCAATGTCGCCACCACCTACTTGGTCATGATCAATGTCGCCACCACCTACTTGGTCATGATCAATGTCGCCACCACCTACTTGGTCATCATCAATGTCGCCACCACCTACTTGGTCATGATCAATGTCGCCACCACCTACTTGGTCATGATCAATGTCGCCACCACCTACTTGGGCATCATCAATGTCGCCACCACCTACTTGGTCATCATCAATGTCGCCACCACCTACTTGGTCATCATCAATGTCAGCCACCACCTACTTGGTCATGATCAATGTCGCCACCACCTACTTGGTCATGATCATGTCGCCACCACCTACTTGGTCATGATCAATGGCGCCACCACCTACCTTTGTCAGATCAATGTCGCCACCACCTACTTGGTCATGATCAATGTCGCCACCACACTACTTGGTCATGTAAATGGCGCCACCACCTACTTGTATGATCATGTCCGCCACCACCCTACTTGGTCATGATCAATGTCGCCCACCCACCTACTGGGTCATGATCAATGTCGCCGAACCACCTACTTGGTCAATGATCAATGTCGCCGACCACCTACTTGGGTCATGGATCAATGTCGCCACCAACCTACTTGGTCATGATCAAGGTCGCCACCAACCTACTTGGTCATGATCAATGTCGCCACCACCTACTTGGTCATGATCAATGTCGCCACCACCTACTTGGTCATGATCAATGTCGCCACCACCTACTTGGTCATGATCAATGTCGCCACCACCTACTTGGTCATGATCAATGTCGCCACCACCTACTTGGTCATGATCAATGTCGCCACCACCTACTTGGTCATGATCAATGTCGCCACCACCTACTTGGTCATGATCAATGTCGCCACCACCTACTTGGTCATGATCAATGTCGCCACCACCTACTTGGTCATGATCAATGTCGCCACCACCTACTTGGTCATGATCAATGTCGCCACCACCTACTTGGTCATGATCAATGTCGCCACCACCTACTTGGTCATGATCAATGTCGCCACCACCTACTTGGTCATGATCAATGTCGCCACCACCTACTTGGTCATGATCAATGTCGCCACCACCTACTTGGTCATGATCAATGTCGCCACCACCTACTTGGTCATGATCAATGTCGCCACCACCTACTTGGTCATGATCAATGTCGCCACCACCTACTTGGTCATGATCAATGTCGCCACCACCTACTTGGTCATGATCAATGTCGCCACCACCTACTTGGTCATGATCAATGTCGCCACCACCTACTTGGTCATGATCAATGTCGCCACCACCTACTTGGTCATGATCAATGTCGCCACCACCTACTTGGTCATGATCAATGTCGCCACCACCTACTTGGTCATGATCAATGTCGCCACCACCTACTTGGTCATGATCAATGTCGCCACCACCTACTTGGTCATGATCAATGTCGCCACCACCTACTTGGTCATGATCAATGTCGCCACCACCTACTTGGTCATGATCAATGTCGCCACCACCTACTTGGTCATGATCAATGTCGCCACCACCTACTTGGTCATGATCAATGTCGCCACCACCTACTTGGTCATGATCAATGTCGCCACCACCTACTTGGTCATGATCAATGTCGCCACCACCTACTTGGTCATGATCAATGTCGCCACCACCTACTTGGTCATGATCAATGTCGCCACCACCTACTTGGTCATGATCAATGTCGCCACCACCTACTTGGTCATGATCAATGTCGCCACCACCTACTTGGTCATGATCAATGTCGCCACCACCTACTTGGTCATGATCAATGTCGCCACCACCTACTTGGTCATGATCAATGTCGCCACCACCTACTTGGTCATGATCAATGTCGCCACCACCTACTTGGTCATGATCAATGTCGCCACCACCTACTTGGTCATGATCAATGTCGCCACCACCTACTTGGTCATGATCAATGTCGCCACCACCTACTTGGTCATGATCAATGTCGCCACCACCTACTTGGTCATGATCAATGTCGCCACCACCTACTTGGTCATGATCAATGTCGCCACCACCTACTTGGTCATGATCAATGTCGCCACCACCTACTTGGTCATGATCAATGTCGCCACCACCTACTTGGTCATGATCAATGTCGCCACCACCTACTTGGTCATGATCAATGTCGCCACCACCTACTTGGTCATGATCAATGTCGCCACCACCTACTTGGTCATGATCAATGTCGCCACCACCTACTTGGTCATGATCAATGTCGCCACCACCTACTTGGTCATGATCAATGTCGCCACCACCTACTTGGTCATGATCAATGTCGCCACCACCTACTTGGTCATGATCAATGTCGCCACCACCTACTTGGTCATGATCAATGTCGCCACCACCTACTTGGTCATGATCAATGTCGCCACCACCTACTTGGTCATGATCAATGTCGCCACCACCTACTTGGTCATGATCAATGTCGCCACCACCTACTTGGTCATGATCAATGTCGCCACCACCTACTTGGTCATGATCAATGTCGCCACCACCTACTTGGTCATGATCAATGTCGCCACCACCTACTTGGTCATGATCAATGTCGCCACCACCTACTTGGTCATGATCAATGTCGCCACCACCTACTTGGTCATGATCAATGTCGCCACCACCTACTTGGTCATGATCAATGTCGCCACCACCTACTTGGTCATGATCAATGTCGCCACCACCTACTTGGTCATGATCAATGTCGCCACCACCTACTTGGTCATGATCAATGTCGCCACCACCTACTTGGTCATGATCAATGTCGCCACCACCTACTTGGTCATGATCAATGTCGCCACCACCTACTTGGTCATGATCAATGTCGCCACCACCTACTTGGTCATGATCAATGTCGCCACCACCTACTTGGTCATGATCAATGTCGCCACCACCTACTTGGTCATGATCAATGTCGCCACCACCTACTTGGTCATGATCAATGTCGCCACCACCTACTTGGTCATGATCAATGTCGCCACCACCTACTTGGTCATGATCAATGTCGCCACCACCTACTTGGTCATGATCAATGTCGCCACCACCTACTTGGTCATGATCAATGTCGCCACCACCTACTTGGTCATGATCAATGTCGCCACCACCTACTTGGTCATGATCAATGTCGCCACCACCTACTTGGTCATGATCAATGTCGCCACCACCTACTTGGTCATGATCAATGTCGCCACCACCTACTTGGTCATGATCAATGTCGCCACCACCTACTTGGTCATGATCAATGTCGCCACCACCTACTTGGTCATGATCAATGTCGCCACCACCTACTTGGTCATGATCAATGTCGCCACCACCTACTTGGTCATGATCAATGTCGCCACCACCTACTTGGTCATGATCAATGTCGCCACCACCTACTTGGTCATGATCAATGTCGCCACCACCTACTTGGTCATGATCAATGTCGCCACCACCTACTTGGTCATGATCAATGTCGCCACCACCTACTTGGTCATGATCAATGTCGCCACCACCTACTTGGTCATGATCAATGTCGCCACCACCTACTTGGTCATGATCAATGTCGCCACCACCTACTTGGTCATGATCAATGTCGCCACCACCTACTTGGTCATGATCAATGTCGCCACCACCTACTTGGTCATGATCAATGTCGCCACCACCTACTTGGTCATGATCAATGTCGCCACCACCTACTTGGTCATGATCAATGTCGCCACCACCTACTTGGTCATGATCAATGTCGCCACCACCTACTTGGTCATGATCAATGTCGCCACCACCTACTTGGTCATGATCAATGTCGCCACCACCTACTTGGTCATGATCAATGTCGCCACCACCTACTTGGTCATGATCAATGTCGCCACCACCTACTTGGTCATGATCAATGTCGCCACCACCTACTTGGTCATGATCAATGTCGCCACCACCTACTTGGTCATGATCAATGTCGCCACCACCTACTTGGTCATGATCAATGTCGCCACCACCTACTTGGTCATGATCAATGTCGCCACCACCTACTTGGTCATGATCAATGTCGCCACCACCTACTTGGTCATGATCAATGTCGCCACCACCTACTTGGTCATGATCAATGTCGCCACCACCTACTTGGTCATCATCAATGTCGCCACCACCTACTTGGTCATCATCAATGTCGCCACCACCTACTTGGTCATGATCAATGTCGCCACCACCTACTTGGTCATGATCAATGTCGCCACCACCTACTTGGTCATGATCAATGTCGCCACCACCTACTTGGTCATGATCAATGTCGCCACCACCTACTTGGTCATGATCAATGTCGCCACCACCTACTTGGTCATGATCAATGTCGCCACCACCTACTTGGTCATGATCAATGTCGCCACCACCTACTTGGTCATGATCAATGTCGCCACCACCTACTTGGTCATGATCAATGTCGCCACCACCTACTTGGTCATGATCAATGTCGCCACCACCTACTTGGTCATGATCAATGTCGCCACCACCTACTTGGTCATGATCAATGTCGCCACCACCTACTTGGTCATGATCAATGTCGCCACCACCTACTTGGTCATGATCAATGTCGCCACCACCTACTTGGTCATCATCAATGTCGCCACCACCTACTTGGTCATGATCAATGTCGCCACCACCTACTTGGTCATGATCAATGTCGCCACCACCTACTTGGTCATGATCAATGTCGCCACCACCTACTTGGTCATGATCAATGTCGCCACCACCTACTTGGTCATGATCAATGTCGCCACCACCTACTTGGTCATGATCAATGTCGCCACCACCGTCATCATCAACGTTGCTACTTGACCCCGTGCATTGGAAGCTACTGGAGGTGTTGGGTGAGAAGTCTGGCAACGGGCATTTTGGATAATTTCGATTTCATTCAGACGCTGCCTTTCCGACAGACCTGTTTTTCACCTGAGGACGGCTGCTTGCGTTGTGGCCGAAACGTCGTGAGAATAATTTTATGATATTTTATGTTTATTATTTTATTATTTCCCTTCTACGTGACTTTACCGAAAGAACCAAGAAGATTTTGGATAATCTTGAGTTTGGTGGTGAGAGCTTTAGGGAGGCCGCAGAGGAGAGAGTCGAAACAGTGCGGTCTATAAACAGCAGCACCGGGAAGACAAAGGCGGTCGGCGCGGTGTCAGTGGCTGCACCACCACCTCGTGCCTTAATAGGCGCTCGCTAACAGAATCTGCCCCGACCATGTGTGTGTGGCTAAACGGGAGATCTTGGTCTTTTGTGTTGCCAGGGAGCCAACATCCTGCTGACCGAGAGTGGCGACGTGAAGCTGGGTGAGTCCTCGACATCAAACCGTGATTTAGCGAGGACGACTAAAACATTACACGAGTTGAGAGCGCACGTGGGCTCGAAGTTTTACCCCAAATTTGTATTTGCATTCACCCAGAGCTCCGTTCTAGCTGGGTCTTTCCAGGGTCGGGCAATCCGGAAAATATTTCTGCACCTGGCACACCACATCCTGTATACTTCTCGCTATGGCTGTGGCTACTGCTGGCCACATGCCACCGACTCCAGTCTACAAGCGACCCAGGAAATATAATCTGTGAGAAATTAAAGCCCTGCAGTCTCTTTTTTTGTTGACATTTCCATATACAGTAAACCTTGGATTGCCAGCATAATTCGTTCCGGAAACGTGTTTGTAATCCAAAGCACTCGTATATCAAAGCACTCGTGTGTCAGTTGTGATCACATGACGCTCGGCAGACAAAGCGTATACACGTACTACTCGTATTGCAAGACCTCGCTCGTTTATCAAATGAATATTTATTTTTAAAAAAATGCTCGTCTTGCAAAACACTCGCAGACCAAGTCACTCGCAATCCAAGGTTCTACTGTAGTAGCACCTTACCGCTCTTCTAACAGTCTCTGCAGAAGAGTGATTGATAGTCGCAATAAAAGCGTGATGAGGGGGTGACTGACCGCGAGTGACTGGAACGAATCAGTGAGCCATGGGGGGGGTCATGAATCGACGTGACAGCTTTACATTTAGAACGTGTATGGGGCATCTGAACTGCGCGAGCGAGCGTGCACGTGCGTGGTGTGGTGAGTCTTCATACATATTGCGATGCCGTGTGACGTAGCGGACTTCGGGGTGTCCGCCCAGCTGACCGCCACCCTGGCCAAGCGGAAGTCGTTCATTGGCACGCCGTACTGGTGAGTGAGCCTGTCGCGCGAGCACACTACTACGCGTACGTGTGGCGGCCATTTTTCTCCATCCGCTGCTGGATGAGAGGGTCTCCCAATGCCGTGCCGTTTGTGAGGGTTGTTTCGCCATACTTCACCATGCCGGTCGGTGCGGCTTTGGCGGAGGTTGGGAGGCAACTCGGATGAGCACGGTTGGCGACGTAGAGTGCGAAAGAAGTTCAACATGCATAAACTAAAATGCCTATATTTTACCAGGTTAGGGCGACTGAGCTACATAGCTCTTTTTCAGAAGCGACCTGGCCACCAATGACAGCCCAGTGAAGTGGCTTAACATGTGTAAATGTATAGCAGCCAAATACTCTGAACGCATGTTTGTAAATATGGAGGGAAAAACTGGAAGACCCGGAGAAAAATCCATGCGACCACGGGGAGGACATGCAAACTTCTAGTATACAGGTGTCAGGGTCGGGATCATACCCACGACCTCCTGTATACCAGGCGAGGGAGTTAACATCTCGCCACTGTGGTGCCCAAAGTCTGTGTATACATACTTATGCACACAGACTTTGAAGCGCACTACAAAGCGGCTGTCTTACCACGCTTCCTGGTTGAGCCTCCCACAAATGTGGCCACCTTGCCCGTCCCCCTGTGATCGATGGCCCCCCAGGATGGCCCCAGAGGTGGCGGCCGTGGAGAGGAAGGGCGGCTACGGACGGCAGTGCGACGTGTGGGCCCTGGGCATCACGGCCATCGAGCTGGCCGAGACGCAGCCGCCGCTCTACCACCTCCACCCCATGAGGTTTCGGCGTCGCCCACGTTACACGCCTCTCGCCCCGTCGCCCACGTTACACGCCCCTCGCCCCGTCGCCCACGTTACACACCCCTCGCCCCGTCGCCCACGTTACACGCCCCTCGCCCCGTCGCCCACGTTACACACCCCTCGCCCCGTCGCCCACGTTACACGCCCCTCGCCCCGTCGCCCACGTTACACGCCTCTCGCCCCGTCGCCCACGTTACACGCCCCTCGCCCCGTCGCCCACGTTACACGCCCCTCGCCCCGTCGCCCACGTTACACACCCCTCGCCCCGTCGCCCACGTTACACACCCCTCGCCCCGTCGCCCACGTTACACGCCCCTCGCCCCGTCGCCCACGTTACACGCCTCTCGCCCCGTCGCCCACGTTACACGCCCCTCGCCCCGTCGCCCACGTTACACGCCCCTCGCCCCGTCGCCCACGTTACACACCCCTCGCCCCGTCGCCCACGTTACACGCCCCTCGCCCCGTCGCCCACGTTACACGCTCCTCGCCCCGTCGCCCACGTTACACGCCCCTCGCCCCGTCGCCCACGTTACACGCCCCTCGCCCCGTCGCCCACGTTACACACCCCTCGCCCCGTCGCCCACGTTACACACCCCTCGCCCCGTCGCCCACGTTACACGCCCCTCGCCCCGTCGCCCACGTTACACGCCTCTCGCCCCGTCGCCCACGTTACACGCCCCTCGCCCCGTCGCCCACGTTACACGCCCCTCGCCCCGTCGCCCACGTTACACACCCCTCGCCCCGTCGCCCACGTTACACACCCCTCGCCCCGTCGCCCACGTTACACGCCTCTCTCCCTGTCGCCCGCCATCCTCGTCTTCCCAACTTCTGCATCTGCCATCCTCCACATCTCCTACGTTACAAATCTCCCACCCTCCTGACAAATCTCCTACCCTCCACATCCGTACCTCCGATTAGCGCGGTTGGCTGCGTATGGTGCGAAAGAAGTTTAACATACATCTCCTACCTTTCAAATCTTCTGACCTCCACATAGTCTGTCTTACAAATCTCCCACCCTCACCATCTCCTACCTTTCTCATCTCGCACCCTCCTCATCCATTAAGCCTCTCCCCATCTTTCACCTTGTACTTCATCTTGCCACCCTACTCATCGTTTGAAGGCGGGAAGTGTAAATGCGGGAGAGCATAGAAGTACAGCACAACGACGGATGTTGCTGTAGTTGCCCTCTGCTACCGAGGTTCGTTACCGCCGGTGCATTCACGAACGGAAGTGGCGCGGCCTCTCCGCGCACGCGCGCCTTAACGGAGGTCGCACGACACTTCGTATTTCACAATTTTTTCTGGCCGCTGCTAGACCGGAGTGGGTGGCACGTGACTAGCACAGCAGTAGCCACGACCATAGCGATAGGTATACTGGATGCGGTGTGCCGGTTGCGGCGGAAATATTTTCCGGATCGCCGACCCGGGTAAACACCGTCTCAACTGAATGCCCAATGTCACGGTGCGTCCCACTCCCCATTACCCCCCCCCCTGCCCACCCCCCCATCCCCCCCTGCCCCCCCAACCCGAGTGCAGGGTCCTCTTCCTCATGTCCAAGAGCGGGTACCAGCCGCCCCGCCTCTCCGACAAGGCCAAGTGGTGAGTGTCTACCCCCCACTCCCCCGCCCGCACCGGTCCGTGCGGTGGTTTTGTGGATGGGCGGCAGCGATATGTTCGGAAGCTAAATGCCAATTTTGAGGTCTGCTGGTCACGATGAGAGGGCTTCCAGGAGACAGCTTGTGAGTAGTTTTGCTGTCCCTCCTCCGCTGAAGACGCACAGGCTACAGTGATTCGCTGTATGGCACATAGTTTGAGTCACATTCGGCATTTATTTGCGTTTGTGCAATGTTTTGCATTTCCCACGTGACACAGTTGTTTTTGTTCTGCTTTGTACTTGCTTAATTGCTGTACTTTGTTTTATGAGTTTGCCTTTTGTCATTGTGACCACTCTTGCAAATGAGCCTCGATGCTGGTCTCTTGAGTTCTCATATTGGTTCATCAAAATCCACGAGAAACTTGACTTGCATTTTAAATTACTCTCTGGTTCGAGCTGACTGGCATTTCAATTTGCAGGAAAATTCGTTTAACCAGGTGAGAGCTTTAAAATAGCGGGGCAGTCTCATTTGCAAGAGTGACCTAGGTCACATTTGAAATCACGTCCTGATTAGTGCAAGCTATTATTTTAAATCATTACCTGGTCCGTGTACACTAGCGAAATTTGTTCACTTTCAGTGCATGCAAAAAACACTTGAATCACAGTGATTGCTCCGTTATAGGGCGCAGCGGTAGCAGAGTGTTTAGCGCAGCTGTACGGTGACGCTAGCAACCCGAGTTCCATTCCCCGGCCGCGGCTCAGATGAGTGGCGAGTGATATCTGTTCCGGTCCTGCCTGTCCCCCACCCCACTCGCCGCCAACCCACACTGACCAGCGTGGTGAAGCATGGTAAAACAAACAAAAACTCCATCCAGTAGGGGATTGAGAATGGATTTCTTATTTTTTTATTTTTTAACTTTTTTTTATTTAATGGATTTGGTAGCCTTAATAGGCGCTCGCTAACAGCACCTACCGCGTAAATGTTTATCAGCGTAACAAAAGGAGGGGACGTGGTTTGCTCGCGTGTATTTATGAGTGGGGAGCGGTAGTGCAGTGGTTAGCAAACTGTGTCACGAACCCATTAACCTGGCTTCAATTCCCAGCTAAGACTAACATCATCAGCGGTGAGTTATATCCTTAAATAAGCACTTAGCACAGCGAGCAAACATGAGCACTGGGAAGGCAAACAAGGATGATGGTGTGCAGTACTGACCATACCACCCCCTCGAGCGCCATTCTCACCTTAATAGGCGCTCGCCAACAGCACTTGCACCAACAGTCTATTAACCATTTCCCGTTCTGAGGCGTCTGCTAGTTGCAGGGTGGGTGGTGTCCCGTTCACCGCTGAATCTCGGAATGCGCAAGCGGCTCAGCATTAATGTTATTCGTAGAGGCATTTCGCTGGGCTTTTTAAAGACATTGTACTCATCGCAGAGAACCATAGTGAAACGACTATACTCTATGATAGCTGGCGCCAAACTGTGCCACATGCCCTCCCGCATGTCCTTATGGGAGCCTCGGTAGCGATAAAGTAATTTTATACTGGTAGGAACCTCCTGGTTACTCCAGCCCACAGGGGATTATTGTGTCTGTCCGTCGTGCAGGGAGGGGCTGGGTGGGGAGGGAGGGGCTGGGTGGGGAGGGGAGGGTGTGGAAGGGCTGGGTGGGGAGGGTGGGGCTGGGTGGGGGGGGGCTGGGTGGGAAGGGGCTGGTCACCCTGTGGTGCCCTTATAAAACTCAACGTTTAACCTACTCACGCCGGCTTGTGCCCGACCTCACAGTAGGGCATATTTGCGGAATACACCACGCCGCCGTTGACCCTGGCCATTGACCGAGCAACCCAACATTCCTACCAGCTCCCTCCGCAGGAATGTGTTTTTATTTTTTCTTCCGGTTTAGTTTTGATGATGTATAGGTACGTCATCTGAACGAGAAAGGGTAAATAGGCGCTCGCTAACAGCACTTGCACCAACGGTCTATGAAAGGCTACACGGGAGATCTTTGTTTGTGGGTTCTCCAGGTCCTCGGCATTCCACAGCTTCATCAAGGCCACCCTCACCAAGAGCCCCGGAAAGAGGCCAAGTGCGGAGAAGCTCGGCACGGTGAGCGAGCACCGGCGGTAGGCGGCAACACCGGGGCAACCATGCGCAGTGGCACAGCTGTCGAGTGTGCAGGCGGTGAAACCGCACCGGCACCCACACTGCCCCCTTTGTCCCCCGGTGTGTGCCGGGGGCAGCTCTGATGACAACGACGATGATGACGATGTCCCCCATTGAATATGGTACTCACTTCCCACAGCCATCTGTGCTGTCGACTCCCCGCCCTTTTTAGAATCCAGGCTCAAGACATTCTTCTTTTCCCTCTCGCTTTCACCATCTCCTTCATATCAACAGACTTCCCTTCCCCGAGGATGCCCATAACATCAAATTGTATTGTACATGCATGGTTGGCTTGGCCCATTACTCATATGGAACCAATACAATTAACATAACTTCGTGATATGTTTGCATGAACAATAATAATAATTTAAACTTGTAACACGCCACCACCCAGGGGGAACTACAGACAAGCAGGAAAGGCAGCAACCGGGTGGTGAGCCGGCACTACCAACAATTGCATAAGCTCTGCGGTCCTCTATATGTTAAGTTGTTTCACCCAATTAATGAGTGTTTACACGTGGAAGGAAGCCAGAGCACCCGCAGAAAACCTCACACGTGCGAGGGAGCAACGCTCTATCCCATACAGACGGAACAGGTGGAGTCCACATTTGCTGTACCTGCCGAGCCAGGCTATGGCTCCTCGTCAACATTCATTAGTAGTCCTGTGAAGGGACGGATCCCATCCAACCTCCCTCCTCTCTCCTGCCTATGACGAACTATCTCTTCTCTACAATATACACACCATACGTATATATATATATAACTATCTACGTACACGAATGCAACTTTCCTTCTTTCTTTGGGTTCTCTGCTGGTTAAACGAAAACACAACTACACGACCTCAACCGCGCTTTGCAAGTCGGATACCACGTTCGTCCAATCTGTGACGACAATTGTTAACGATGGTGTGCCGACGTGTTCCCTCGCTACCCCCCGACCCCCCGTCGCATGTGGACAGCACGCTTGGTTCCGCCAGCCGCTGACCCGCTCGCTCGCCGTGGACCTCCTGGAGTCGGCGCGGAGGCTGCAGCGGCCACACGGCTCCCCCTCGCCGTCGCGCGGCTGGGGTGGCCGCGGGGGCGGCGGCGGCAGCCTCGACACGGAGGAGGACGAGGAGGACGAGGATGACGAGGTGATCGGAGGGACGATGGGTGATGGTTGACCGTGGAGGGTGGCGATGGAGGGACGGTGGGAGATTACCACGGACAAAATCCTCCCCTCTGCAAGTTTCATCTGTGGGACGTTCCAGAACGAGCCCGATCTCGTCAGATATATGAACCTTATGGCGGGACTCTGGGTCCCATAAGCCCCCGGCTCTCGCATAAACTGCGTTGCGATGTCATTTTATGTCTGTTGAAAACGAACGATACGGCAATCTATTCCTCTCGACGAGCTCTACACGGTGCGCTAATCAAAGTTTAAAAGTTTTGTTTCTTCTGTGCATTTGTCCTCGCTGCGCTTGGACGACATGACAACAGAATGATCCGCACCAGGTGGGTCACGGCATTAATGTGCACGGTGGGACGGAGTCGCCAAAAATTTATAAATAAATTGCAATTTTTTGCTTCCGTTTATTCGAGACCCCGGGGTCCCACCATAAGGTTAATTTGTTGGAAGCTAAGCAGGTTTTTGGGCCTTTTTGCGTTTGGATATTTATTAGATGGGTGCCCGCCGTTGCTAAAACAGGTGTCGTGGGCTACTGCGGAGCGACGTGGTGGTGGCAGAGAGCGGTGTGGCGAAATTCGTTGTTGCGCTGCAGTAATGTCTACGCTGCCCACCGTCACCAACCCACGTTGACCAGCTTGGTGACGTATGGTCAAACATTCCCGTGACCCGCGCGGCATTGGGAGATCCCACATTCAGCTGTAGATTGACAACAAGAGCTTTACAAGCGCGTGTACAATCATAACGATACGAACGATTATACCCAGGGAAATCCTCACTAAATCTCAAGACTCTTTTTCAAGAGGGTCCTGCTGCTTCAAGATGTTTGGCCATTTCGTTGAGTCTCTTGCAAGCACGAGGAAACCGGAGTGCCCCGGGAAAAAAAACCCGTCACGCAACCGAGAAGATAACGATCGCATGTCTTACAGATGGTCTCATAGACCCACTTCCTGCCATCTCCTAGCCACCTTGCAGCCCAGATGGGTCAGAAATTTCACAAATCTCCACGTGGTCTACCAACCGTTGCCTCCAAAGCACCGGATCGCAGGCGTGCGTCACCACACCTGGTGCATGCTGGGTAATGTTTTTCAGCGGGATGCCCATCGGCGTGTGGTGGTGATGTAACCGAGCGGCACTGAATTTTCCGCGAGTTGAAGAGGTTTACGATTCCAGCCTTCGGCCGCCCTGGTTAATACATTAAACGCGTTAACCATAAAATACCAAGCATCGTCTGCTTCACGAGCGAACGTTAAATGTCCCGTGACACGGTTTCAAAAACAGTGGGCCAGGTGTGTTGGCGTCATGATTCAAATATGGATAATTACACCGCAAATTACTCGGTCGGAAAACACTTCGCAATCGTGTTGTGAAACTTCGCAAAACCATCCCTGAAAAAGAGTCTTGAGACAGTCTAAAACTATTTTTTTTAATTAATTTTACCAGGTAAGGCCCACCGAGCTATGTAGCTCTTTTTCAAAAGCGACCTGGCCACACCTGACAGCTCAACCACGTGGCTTGTCACGTAGACATTTATAGCAAACACTCTCAATGCATGTTTCTAAATGTGGAGGGAAAAACCAGAGGACGCGGAGAAACATCAACTTGACCATGGGGAGAGAGACACCGTAAACTCCAAATATACAGCAGCAGGCGTCAGGGTCGGGATTGAACCCATGACCTCCTGTATACCATGCGAGGTTGTTACATCTCCTAACCACCGTGGCGTTTTGAGAACTTTCCGTGGAAGATGAGATTCAGGAGGCCAAACCTTCATCATTTCAAATGAGACTAACTCTTTCTCTCTTGAGGTCTACCCTGGTTAAAATGAATACTGGAAACTTGAATGTGACAAAAAAAATTAAGTAGCTCACCTAGTAAGCATGGAACGACACGTCAAATTGTGCAATTAGAATCAGTTAGTTACAATTTATGCATATTGTAGGCAAATGATCTGTTAAACCTAAGTTCATGAAATGAAAGAGGCCGAACTAGACTAAGAGAACGACTAATGAACTTCACAGACGAAGGCTTGACTAAAGTTCCTCGAGCAGTCATCGACTAAACTACGGCTAAGATTAGAAACGCAGACGCCATTAACGCTGGGCTGCGCAGTGGCGAATCCAAGGAGGCAGCGATGGGAGCAATCACCGCTCCCCCAGCCCTCCACCTTTCTAGGTAATTAACAGAGAAAATACATAGAGCGTTGTTTTATTTATTTATTACCATCACTAACGTAGGGGCCCATATTTAAAATGCTTTATATTTCAAGACCCCCCCCCCCCACCGCGCCCCCCCCCCTCGCCCTCTACTGCCCTGCATGCCGTGCCTCCAGAGAGCCAGCACGCTGTCCCGCAGCGACACACTCAGTGAGGCTTTCCTGGGCAAATGAAGGGGAATTCATGAAGCACATGAAGCACGTGAAGCATGGATAACTGCAATTGCGCCGGTCGGCGCGACGATGTCGGTCGAGCACACTAACGAGCTGCTTCGTCTCGTTGACATCCGCCCTTCGCCAATCAGAACCCACACGCCGACGGCCTGCAGACCATCCGCCCGGCCACAAGCGCCGTGACGCCTGCTCCCTCCGACGCTGCCAAGCAGCCGTACTCCACGGACACCATGGGTGAATACCGCACGATACCGCTCGAGAGAGTTGGGGGGGTGGGCGGGGGGATGGGGGTCAGGGGCCACGTCCGCCGCGGAGATCGGCTCGTGTGCAGGCGCCGCGTACGATCGTTGCGTCGTGGGACCGTGAGGGGATGGAGGCCTTCATCTACCAGTGGATTGATTCTGGTTGATGATGATGCTGACCACGTGATACCAAAGTTGGGTAACGGGGGACCTTTGTTACTTACCTAACCTTAACACGCACCGCTCCGCAATGCAATGGCATGGCCCGCGAGCGCTGCCGCTGCTGCTGCTGCCGCCGCTGCCGCCGCCACCGCTGCCGCCGCCGCTGCTACTGCTGCCGCTGCTGCCGCTGCGTGGTGCCGTTGGCGCGATGACGATGCTCATCTTTGTGCCGCTCGTCTACCTCCCGCAGTGTGGCTGAGCGAGCCGCGATCGCCTGACCCCGAATCAAACGGCACCATCAAGGTGTGTGGCTACCGAGGACTCACTGCTCACAGCTACAACAATAGCAGCAGCAGCAGCGTCAAAGTGAATTCGCTTACTGAAATCTTTGACCTTTATGTTTGTCTACAGTCATGGGTGCTTGCTAACAGCACTTGCCCCAACATTCTGCTAAAGCTACACGGGGGATCTTTGTCTTTAGTACACACACAATCACTTTGCCTGCACCCCTCTACCCATTTCGTCTTCGCTCCTTTCCGTCGCAAACTCACATTTGTAATGCGCCCATCACGTAACCAAGACATCTGGGCGCGGAATTGCATAGGAGGGGCGGGAGGGGACGGCGGGACTGAGCAGGGGCATGAGGCCACGGTTGCAGAGAACAGATTTGAGGAGACACCTGCAAGCTCTTCCCTTGTCCGTTCTGCTCAGTTCTCAGGACGAGTCTCAGCGGAACCCACGGAGCGTGGGGAGTCTGCAGAGTGTGGGGACTCTAGGCCCCTGCCTCGCCGCTCCTCCTCGCTACTGAGGCCGGCCCCCGTGGGGCCCACGGCCCCCGTGGCCGCCAGCTCCTCCCGGAGCCTCCCGGCGCGGCTCTCCGGGCCCCGGCCCCTCCGCTCGTGGCCCCCGCTGTTGGGCCCCAGGGCCACGGCGTGGAGGTCGGAGGTCGCGGGCGGCGGGACGCCGGGGCAAGACGTGCCGGGTGGCGGCGGCAGGATGGGTCGGCGCTCCGAGGGGTCGGGCGGTGAGCGGCGGCACCAGACACTTTCGGCGTTTCAAAGGCGCCGATGCACGCGAGTGGTGATGTTTGGAGAACGAAGGGCTCGATTGTAACCATGGGGTGTCTGTTATTGCTCTCTCTCGTTCACTCTGTTCACAAGTTGGAGAGTCGAGCTGGTGGGCGAATGCGGAGGAACGGGGCACGGGAGGGAGCAGTTCGTCCCCTAATACCTCTGTAAGATACCACCCGTGTGCGTGTGATTGTGTGCATGTTAGCGGTCGAAGATATTTAGGCCTTAGATTGCTCTCAATTTCCAAATGTCTTGTCATGATCTACAAAGGCATAATGACGGTTGATATTTATTTGCCTTTTACAGAATATCCGATAAATAGTGTTTATCTGGTCAATTATACAGAAACCTTTCCTAAACCTCAATGGTTGGCCTCGAGATTCTTGTTATTCTGGATGTGGTGACATCCATTTAATCTTTTCGTTCTCGGAATGTGAATATGTTGTGTAAGAGTCAAAATTGGCCACAGCTTTTATCCGTAAACTATTTCGGTTTTTTTTCTTCTTCCCTATGAGTAGCGTTGCCCTCTCCCCGGCTTCGTTGAAGTGCACTTCTGCATAGCACTGCGGTCTGTCATCGATTCTTACGTTGACTTTTAAGTGAGGGTGTTCTCTTCTAACTCACGCTCGTCCTTCTCTCTTGGATTTCAGAAAGTGCTCAGCAATGGGCTTCCTCCCACCCCTGCCGTCCACGTGAGTTCTGCGACCCGCATGTATTTACAGTGCGTTGGACTTCTTTCACACCGTACGTAGCCAACAATCTCACCACGAAAAGCAGTTGTAAAGAAATACGTTTGCCAATCTAGATGATTAAAAAGTGCACAGCTCCAGTGGCTTCCTAATAGGGGAAGGAAGAACGTTCCAGACGGACCACAGAAGCACATCTGATCTCTGACGTCACCACGGAGGGTTCTTCATTAATAAAAAGTATTATCTTTCTAGATTTGAAGCTTTCGTGACTGCAATGATTCATATTCTTAGGTTTTTTCGGTAAAGTCACGTAGGTAAAAAACATTAAAAAGTAAAATAAAATAAAAAATAAAAATCACGACGTTTCGGAGGCAACACAAGCTTCCGTCTTCAGGTGGTACCGTCACAGCCACGACAGCTGTATCAAGTAAATGAGAGATTGCAGAAGCTACCACTCCGTTTATATAATGGTTGGAGAAGGTGGTGGGGCAAGGGCCGCATACTTTTATTAATATGGTAAGGTGAGGCTTAAGACTAAGAATAGACTGCATAACAAAGGAGGTGCGGTTTGTGACTCAACCTGTAACAGGGAGACCACCACTAGACCGTTGCCGATCATTGCTACAACTCGGTGGGCTCTCATGAAATTGTATTTTCCGAGACCAAGGTTCTCTGCAAACCTCCTGGCTACCATCAAAGGTTTGTACACGAAGCCATACAAATATACAAACACAGACATAATTTCAACCGTGATGACGGTTACAAACTGAGTAATCATTGGAAAGATGTGATTAACCATGCAAAAAAGATTTAACTACACTTATTTGCCAATCTTATTTGACAGACAACCATCAGAGTTTTACCATGTCTAGTGGTGGTCTCCCTGTTACAGGTTGAGTCACAAACCGCACCTCTCCATAACAAAGGCTCAGCCTTTGTTATGCAGTCTATTCTTAGTCTTAAGCCTCACCTTACCATATTAATAAAAGTATGCGGCCCTTGCCCCACCACCTTCTCCAACCATTATATAAACGGAGTGGTAGCTTCTGCAATCTCTCATTTACTTGATACAGCTGTCGTGGCTGTGACGGTACCACCTGAAGACGGAAGCTTGTGTTGCCTCCGAAACGTCATGATTTTTATTTTTTATTTTATTTTACTATTTAATGTTTTTTACCTACGTGACTTTACCTAAAGAACCTAAGAATACGTATTATCTTTGCTAAAATATGAGTAAAATACCAATATTCAGGGTACGAAGGGTGGGGGGGGGAGAGTCAATTGCTCCCTTCGCCAATACCTCACCATAGTTTGCCGCACCGTGCCGCGCTGTGGCGAGCAGCATGGGCCCTGGGTGCAAGGGGTAGAATGGGGCCCTCCTACTTTCTAGCCCGGAGCCTGGACCCCCTTCGGCCAGTGGGTTCCAATTTCAGCTGCATTGCCTGCACACTCGATAGCTACCTTGCCTTTTTGCGGGTTAGTTTGTTGTCCTTCCCCCGCACCTCCGATGAGCATGGTTGGCTACGTTCGGTGCGAAAGAAGTCCAACAACGTACGTGCATGATAATATAGCCACAGCCATGGCGAGAAGTATACGGGATGTGGTGTACCGGGTGCGTACATGTTCACGATTTACACTATGAGACCTCCTTTACCAGTGGCAAAATATAGTAATAGGTTTTTACCCTTTCAACTGGTACAAAAACTGACACCTTTATACAAGGCATCATGTTTGCAATAACCACAACACAAGCAGTCAAAATGCAAACAAAAAGAAACAACTCTGATGATGATAATGATATGCACTGTCCATGAAGTTGATTGGTCCACACCCGAGACAGCTTTCCTTAGAGCCTAGTCTCCATTGGTGTTGGACCAGATGACGCCAAAAGGCGTACAACTCAAAAACAGCGCACTATCATAATAATATAGCCACATATTCTTGGTTCTTTCGGTAAAGTCACGTAGAAGGGAAATAATAAAATAATAAAAATAAAACATAATAAAATAATTCTCACTGACGTTTCGGCCACAACGCAAGCAGCCGTCCTCAGGTGAAGAACAGGTCTGTCTTATTTTATTATTTCCCTTCTACATGACTTTACCGAAAGAACCAAGAAGATGAATCCCTGCAGTCACTGAAAGCTTTAAATCGAAATATAGCCACAGCCATGGCGAGAAGTATACGGGATGTGGTGTACCAGGTTGCGTACATCTTCACGATTGTTGCGCGCGTGCCGTCGCAGATGGGCGCGTGCTTCTCCAAGGTGTTCAACCGCTGCCCGCTGACCGTGCACCACGCGACCTCGTGGGTGCACCGCGACACGAGAGGTCGGCAAGCGTTGATTCAACGCGAGCAAACCACAGGACCGGTTTCGACACGCGTTATCCTCACATTGGCACGGCCGCCCACCACCATCACCACCACCACCCCACTTTGCGAGACGTTGTTCTTTACAAAAGGAATCTATCGGTTCTGTTATAACGCCATCTTCACCCGGTTATTGCACATACAACCACATGCTCGGAATGTAACGAAACAGCAGACTCTGACTTCCCACCCGCACGCTGTTGCGCCAATTCTCTGCTGATACTTGGCTTTGGATGCCTCCACCGACCTCTAGTGGGGACAAACGGAAGTTGTCCTCGCATTGGATATTACTGTCCGCCAATGCCAATGTGAGGATTACACCCCTGGCATTTCGTCAGCATTGAGTCTGAGTGTGCTGCTGATGGGACATGGTAACCGCGTGTCGAAACCGGTCGGGAGTTTGCTTGTATTGAATCAATGCTGCTGAGACGATGCACTCCCGGTGTGGGGGGTGGTGGGGTTGGGGGGGACGTAGAACCATTAGGTTGCATAAAAGATACGTTTACACAATCGCATCGAGTGAGAGATCGGGGAAAGGGGATGTGTTGTCTGCGCTGTGAGGGTAAGGAATTTCGTGTCTGTTGTCCTTCCCCCGCACCTCTGATTAGCACGGCTGGCTACGTACGGTGCGAAATAAGTTTAAAATACATACATACTTAAATGCCTCGGAAACTCACAGCGTCATATGTTAATCTCATCTCAACCGCGGGCAGACAGTATAAACGGTGCGTGGTACACGATGAACAAGACAGTCGGTACAGACGAGACTAAATTATATTATCGAGAGAGAGCGCTTACCCGGTCAATCGGAGAACCGTGATCTCGGATTGTGACGACGCTCCGAAATCGTAGGGATGGTAAGTGGGGGAGGTGAAGGGTTTAATGGTCCACCCCTCTCTCCCCACACTGGCACGTCAATTGATGCCCTAACAGCAGTGATAAAGGCTGTATGGAACATTTTTACGTTTGCGTGTGCAATGAACCTGGCATCCCAAGTTCAAATCCCACTCAGGGCAAATAACAATGGCAAATATTTCAACCGGTCCTTAAGGCCTCCCCTAGTTCGACTCAGCCTCAAATGGGTACCTGGTGCGGTGTGTAAACATCAGCACTGGGGAGACGAAGACGGCCGGGCGTGGTGCCGGCCACCCATCCCGTCGTGTGCCGTGCCGGCCTTCGTGGGTGCTACCCGCTAACAGCACTTGCCCCAAACAGCGTGGTAAAGGCTATACGGGGAATCTTTGTCTTTGTATAGACCAGCACGTGCTCCTGGCATGTGAAGAGGGAATCTACACGCTCAACCTCAACGAGCTGCACGAGGCTACTCTGGAGAGGGTAACCACTTTTCACACACACTTGCATACTCCCATAAAAACTGGTTATTTTGGGTTAGATCGCGTAAATAATATAAATGTTTCGTTAAACTCGCCACCAACCGACACAGCCAATTTGTTAGGTTTGTCACGTAAACGATCATTTACGATTGTAAATGTTGTGGCTTTGCTCTCCAACACACCGGTGTGCTGTACCAATAACTAATTGGCATGTTCTGTTAACGTAACAAACCTTACTAGGTGGCTGTGTCGGGTGGTGGCGGGTTTAACGATACATTTATATATTTACGCGATCTAACCCCAAAACACTTCTATTCTGGATGATATTGGTCGCGAAAGCCTACTTGTTAAACTGACTTGCATACTCATTGACATATGCTCAATAGATAGACACAGTATAGTTTATGCATAAACACGTATATAACAACATTCGCCACTAGGTGGCGGTGACGTCGCCATGGCACTTGTGGCAGGCGAGGTGCACACGTATACAATCACACAAGACAAAGATCCCCGAATAGCTTTACTCATTTGAGGCTGAGTCTATCTAGGGGAGGCCCAGGACAAGTTGAAATATTTGCCACTTTTATTAATTGCGAGTGAGAATTGAACTTGGGATGCCAAATTTGTAGAGCAGTGAGATATAACCACTACACGAACACTCCTAATATACTCACACAATACACACATACATGGTCACGTGACGGCACTTCAGAAGCAGTTCTTTGACATCACCTTCAGTGGGCTGTTTTCTAATACACGTGTGACGGCTCTGCGATGGTCCAGAATATTAAACACGTCTTTGTTTCGTGACCTGATGCCAATAGCACAATCAGGATTGGAATATACTCTTTGGTTCTTTCGGTAAAGTCACGTAGGCAAAAAATAATAAAAGTAAAAAAATATACTAATTGGCATGAACCAAAGAGTATGGATCCTTGCAGTCACGAAAACATCAAATCTAGAAAGAATTGGAATACTTTGGAATACTTTAGCAAAAATAGATCATTGTTAAACGTTTATTTTAAAAAGGGAAAAAAGTTAAATGGTACAAATTAGACCGTAAATACTGTACTGGTGAAAAATGTCAAACTGTGACTTTGAAGTGAATGGTAGAGGGGGAGGTGGATTGATTGAACGGTCACTGAAACCTACAATTCCAATTGGTGGCAGTGGTATTTTTCACCGCAGTGCCACCCGGGGACGCTACATTTCTCATCGAAAATGTTCCGGGACAGACACACGTGTATATTCGAGGTTGGTGGCACGTGGCTCGAAGCCAGAGCCATAGCAAGAGGTTATACTGGATGTGGTGTGCCAGGCGCGGAAACTAATCCCTGGCGGTATATTCCTCCCCGCCCCTTTCTGTCGAGCGCAGCTGCACGGGCGGCGATCCACGTGGCTTTACGTGTGCAGCGACGTCCTTGTGTCCGTGTCCGGTGCGTGCATAGCCATGACTGTCCCGCCACAAAGAGAAAGATCCCCCGAAAAGCCTTAACAGACCGTTGAGTCGACCCAGGGGAGGCCTACACCGGTTCAGATATTCATCACCGATGTTGGCGAGTGGGTATCGAACTTGGGCCGCCGGGTTTCGTAGCGCAGTGCGCTACCGCTCCCCATTATCCTGCCGTTCTCACCGCTTCGCGTACGCTGGGGCCAGCAGTGGTGTAGCAGTGGGTGCTGGTATGGGCCCTGGTTTGCAAGGAATTAAATGTTGTCTATCTCCCCTGTGTGATTTTAATGTTTTTGCCTATCAGAATTAGAATCGTTATTTAGACTGCAGGAGGCATCCGATGAGCGATGAAGCTCTTTTTCACACCTGTCCAAAATGGGCGGTTCAGCAAGTTACAGCAGCAAACAATACGAAAAATGATAGGAGTGCAAAATAGAGAAAATGGTAAGCGAGTCACTAAAAAAAATTACGTTAATTAGTTATACAAATCAAATGTATCAAGATTGGGCAAGGCCGCGAAAAACAACAACAAAACAGTCCCAGACCACACCAAGAAAACACCACACAGCACACAGCAATAATCCCTCAATAAAATGGCACATTAACATTGAACTATCGATACACAGGCAATGGTCAAAGCCCGTGTCGATACGCCCCCATCGGTCCACTCACCTGTCCCCTCCCGGTGTTCGCCTGCAGGTAAATCGGCACAGCTGTACTCGCACTGCCTGCCAGGGCTGTTCGCTCGCGCTCGCAGGGACAGGCGGGTGACGGCACACATCTCGGCTCACCTGGGGCTCCTGCCCAGGTACCCCGGCTCACCTTTTACACGTGCACCTGCCTGTGTGTGTGTGTGTGCGGAGGAGAGGCGTTTGCACCTTTATGTTTACCGCAGCTTATATGCGCACGACAGCCGCCGTTCGGCAAATAAGTGACGGTGCCAGGCTGCTGTGCACTTTGAGGAATTAATGCGAAGTGTTAATGGCTTGCCGGCATATGACAGAACAGACCCAGGTGTTATGGACTGACTGAGATGATGGGCAGGTACACCGCCTGTGCTCCCCACTGTGGCAACAGCTCACGCTCACACACACACTCTCTCACATGCACAAGCTGTCATGTTAGTGAGCGCCTATTATGACCAGCACAGCACAACAAACGTAGGTCTCACATGCTGGCAAGCTATGCTTTTAAAAATAATCATTCACAGCCCCTTTGTCAATCCGCTGCTGGATGACGATGGCATCTCCACACAGTGCCGATTTTGTGGGTTGTTTGACTTCACCACACTGGTCAGCAGGGCCGTCCATAGGGGGGCTGCAAGGCGCCAGAGCAAATCCCACTGTGTGGGCCCCACGACTCCTTCAAACTAAACCGGAAGTGTTACAACTGACACCGTGACGTCAAACCGCGGGGTCCCCCAAAGCGCGGGGCCTGGGGCAGTCGTCCTGAATCGCCGAACCCTAGGGACGGCTCTGCTGGTCAGCGCTGGTTGGTGATATTGAAGCCTTGGACCTATTCAGATTTCACTCGCCACAGATTTCAGCCATGACCGGGAACCGATCTTAGTTTGCCAGGTTTATCCTGCAGTGCACTAACCATGGCACCGCTGCTCCACCCGTGAGACGGCATATTTTTTTCTCTGGCAGCTTCCTAAGTCACCTGTGTGTGTGTGTGTGCGTTCGTGTGGCCTGCAGGAAGTTCAATCTCTCAACCAAGGTACCCAATACCAAGGGCTGCCTGCGGTGTCGAGTCGGTGAGAGAGGTCACAAGACCCAGAACTCTTGTCTCATCCAAAACAGCACCCTCTTGTTCCACTTAACTGGACACATTGTGCATGTATTTGGTGAATTGTTCAACGAATGTATTTATTCCATCCGTGTATTTTCCTAGGTCTCAATGGGCGCTCAGCTAGTTCTATAGCGGGTCTTTCATTATTGTGTCATTTCAAACGAGGTCTTCAATTGATGACGTTGATTCACTTTCATTGATTAATAGTTCCATGAATAACATTGATTTATTAAATATGTTTTACTTGATGGAAACAAAAAATATATATTTCTTGATTGATATTGCTGAATTTGTCCGAATCAATTCTTTGATCACTTGCCGGATTTAGTGACTGAGTGTCTGCGTGTGTGTCTTGCCCCGTGTTCTTCATAAGTGCTCGCTAACAGCACTTGCCCCAACAGTCTGTTAAAGGCTATACGGGGGATCTTTGTTTTTGTTTCGCCCCCCCACCCCCCCGTGTCCGCGTCGTCACCCAGTGGAGAATGTGCACACGGAGAGCCGCTTCCTGTGCGTGGCGCACTCCGGAGGGGTGCGTGTGCTGCAGTGGTACGACCCGCTCCACAAGTTCCTGCTCATCAAGGTTGGGGTGGGGGTCTGTGTGTGGGGGTGGAGTGGTTCCCGGAGTCATACGCAAAAACAGTTCCAGCACTGTCAATTAGTAGCGCTGCGCTTCGAACACGGCAACCCGAGTTCGATTTCCACCTGTCACCAACAATCAGGCATTAACTCAGCCTTAAAATGAGTACCTCGTGCGGTACATAAATATCAGCACTGGGGATACAAAAGGAAGCCTTCATAGGTACTCGCTACCAGCACTTGCCCCAACAGTCTATTACGCGTGAGCTATATTCACATGGCCACGTGTAGTCAAACTACCCCCCCACCCCTGCCCCGACTATCCCCCCGGGCCGCTGCAGCAGGTGGAGGTGCCGCTGCCGAGCCCGCTGCGCGTGTTCGAGCCGCTCGTCAGCCCCGACAGCGACTTCCCGGCCGCGTGCGTCGGGGTGGCGCGCGGGGAGGCCCCTTCCTCAGGCCGCCCCTTCCTCCTGCGCTCCCTCGACCTCGGCTCCAGCCCCGCAGGTGCCGCGTCCGCTACCGCCGCTGCACTGCCCCCCCCCCCCCCCCACTCGTGCCACCCGTGCCACATGAGGGTTTTGCGCGCCCGCGGGACCTCGTCGTTCAACGGTGACGACGGTCAGCAGTGGCGCAGGGCGGTCAGCGCCGTGGGCCCTGCTGCGAGGAACGGGCAGTCACGTGGCCGAGTGGCAGGGCGTTCGCCCGCTAGTTGCAGGGGTTCGCGGTTTGAGCGCAGCGAGCCTCCCTGGTTAATGCTGACGCTGTACGAGCCGAAAACAACATGCGCCGTCTGCTTCATGGCGGACGTTCGAGACCCCGTGACGTCACTCGAAAGAGAGTACAGCATTTGTGTTGGCGTCATGGTGCAAAAATTTGAATATTTTTGACAAATTACTTCATTGGGCAAAACAAGATAACAACATCACCCCCGACTCGCAGACTACACTTGTCTGTGAGACATAGCGCCTTAATGATAGCTTTGCAGGATAACAATGGCATGAATATTACATTTACTAATTTTATGCTACTTATAGAGACGCCCCTTCCCGTCCAAATTCCTCCCCTCACCCCCCATCTGAGCTCAGCAACAACAGCTTACAAGGCTATACGGTGGGACCTTTGCGTGTTTCACGCTGTATATGTGTGTTATGTGCCGCATGTGTGCTATGCTGTTGAGCTGGTAACACCACTGGTAACAATTGCCAAAGCTCACCCTCACCCTAACCATGGCTGTGTGCATGGTTGCCCGTGTGGACCGCCTGCAGGATTGACGGATCTGGCGGCCGAGTGGCATGGGAGCGATGAGGGCGGAGGAGGCGGAGGAGGAGTTGTGGAGGAGGATGAAGGCCTCATTCTTGCGCAGCTCGGGAGGGACCGACTGCTCGTCTGTGCTGGCGGTGAGCCCCAGACTCCAATCGCTTGTCCCTCTCGGGCGTGTTTCCGGGTCGTACCTCGGAGCGCTGTAGTGCACAGCCGCGTCCGGGGTGATTCCACGGAATTGCGCGAGCAAAGCAGACGTAATATCACAGGGGACATTTTCACAATTCTGGATACTGCCTGATGATGCTGGTTGTGATTATCAGTGAAACATCATCCCAATTTGAATGTTTTGGATTGCTGAAGCAGTAATAAATTGGCACTTTTGTTCACGTGACAACTTTATTAATTAGCTGTGTCGCGGTGGAGGTGAGTTTATGACACACGTTTTATTTACACGCTCCGACCCAAACCATCCATTATGAATCAATATCAATGTTGATGCCATCATGAGCGTGGTTGTCAGTGCCAGCGTTACGGCAGTGGCATAGCGTGTGAGGAAACGAGCGGTAGTGTTGTGGTTAGCGCGCTGCGCTATGAACCAGGCGACCGAGTTAAATTCCCGCTCATAGCCAACACCAGTGACGATTATCTGAACCGGTCCTGGGCCTTCCCTAGGTTGACTCAGCCTGAAATGAGCACCTGGTGCGATGTGTAAACATCGCCATTGGGGAGACAAAGGCGGTCGGGCGTGGTGCTGGCCACACACCCCCTCATGTACCGTTCCGGCCTTCATAGGTGCTCGCTAACAGCACTTGCCCCTACAGTCTGTTAGGGCTATACGGGGGATATTTGTCTTTGAGGAAAGGAATGAGGCCCCTTGACTAATTTCTGCCATCTTGTTATCCCAGGACCTGGGCCCCTCTGGTCTGTGGGCCGCCGGTGCAGTTGCACACCCTGCACACCCGATAGCAATGCCACTGGCAGGCATATTGTAAGCCTATGTAGGCTACATACATAGTACTATGTAGGCTACAAGCCTACTACGTGGGCTTATTGTGTAGGCTGACAATAATACGATAAAAATCCTAATCGTGATTCTATGTTACACTTTGCAGTTATAGATTCCCCGCTCACGTTTACCGATTCCCGCTCATGACCAATATCGGTGGGAAATATTTCAACCAGTCCTTCGCCCCTTGTAGGTCGTCTTATCGTTAAATGAGTACAGCACCTGGTAAACATCGGCACTGGGGAGCCCTCGTGTGCCGTGCCGATCTTTATAGCTGTTCGCCAACAGCACTTGCCTCAGCAGCCTGATAAAGGCTACGCGGGGGATCTTTGTCTTTGTGTGCAGGCAGTGCGAAGTTGATCAACCTGCAGGGACGCCTGCACAGGCCCCGCAGGGGTCTGACCCCCGAGATGGAATTCGACTTCAACGTTGAGTCCATTGGTGAGCTTTGGTTGCCATTCCAACACCAGTCTCGTCCATTGGCTGCCATCCCTCGTATTGATGCGGCCCACCCAAGCCCACTCACTTTCCTTAACGGTCAATAAGATGTCTCGAATTGTATTGCTCCCTGATCCCTGTATTTATCTTTCTCTAGGTTTTATTTAAAGCACGCATCTCTCTATTCTTCTTTGTGTATTTTTCAGCTTTTGTTCCATAGTATTTCATTGCTATCCTTGTCTCTGAGCCATATAACCATAGCGGTGCAATGTGCCCTGCTTTCCAGAAGCCACTCCATCCCGCTGTGATTCGCATCCTTATGTCGTCATTTTGATCCCGATCCACCGTGAACGCAAAATTTTCATCCTTCTGTTCGCTCCTGGAACATTATTCGAATTTAGCTCAGCCACTCAGTTACGACTGGCCACGGTGTACGTATCGGGATGCCCGTGCATTGTTTTGCGTGCAGTGTCCCTGCAGGACAGCGTGCTGGCCTTCTGGAGGCACGGCATGCAGGGCAGGAGCATCTCCACCGGAGAGGTACCCAGCCCCATGGGCAGTTCTAGAAACTCTCAAACAGGGGGGGGGTGGCGGTGGGGGCCGGTCTTGAAATATAAAGCTTTTGATATATAAAAAAAACGCTCAATGTATTATCTCAGTTAATTAATTACCAATAAAATACCAATTGTTGAGGTTTTAAGGGCTGGGGGGTGGGATTGCTCCCATCGCTCCCTCCTTGGATTCGCCACTGCGCAGCCCAGCGCTAATGGCGGCTGTGTTTCTAATCTTAGCTGGAGTGCAGTGGATGACTATCCGTGGAACTTTATTCAAGCCTTTGTCTGTGATGTTAGTTCGTCGTTCATCATATAATTTGCGTACAATATACATACATTCTGACTGATTCTAATTGCACAATTTGACGTGCCGTAAGCGTAAGATATCAGTTGTAATCAAACAATGCATGCATCGTTCCATGCTTTGTCACATTCAAGTTTCTAGTATTTATTTTAACCAGGTTAGACCTCAAGAGAGAGGGTTAGTCTCATTTGTAACACTGATGGTTTGACCCAACGAATCTAATCTTCCAGGTTACCCAGGAAATCACGGACAGGAGCCGGATATTCCGGGTGCTCGGAACGGAAAGGTTGGTTTCACCAACAACAACAACTGCCATTCGCCACTAAGTAGCGGTGATGTCACCACGGCGTTCGTGCCAGGCTCTATGCACTTTAGGGCCATGTTAAGTATTGAAGGTACGCTGCTGGCAGGAGATCACGGGACATACCCAGATGCTATAGGTTGACTGACTGAGATGACTGGCCGATGGCCTTACCAGTTGCGGTGGCAAACACGACTGCGCTTGGGCTATTTGGAGGCAATGGTTGATGGATCACATATAGATTTGTGAAACTCATAAAATCTCCATACTACTGTGTAGGTTTTAGAAGATGTGTTGTATAGTTCTCTGATGTGTTTTCTGGTTGTACCATGTGTTATTCATCACGATGTCCGGCGTTACGCTCCACCTACTGGGGCCTTGTTCAGGAATTGAATCAAGCAGCTCACATTCTCTCTTGATTATATACCGTTTCTGGCTGCTGGTCGTGATGACTGTAGGCTGCTCAATGTTATTTATTTGTCTCATATTGGAGGAAAAACTGGAGGACTCAAATAAAGCTCACCAGCATGCTGCGTCTCAAAGTGACCAGCAGCTTAAAATACAGCAAGTGGATTTATCAATAATCCATCTGTGCGGAGCTTTGAGTGCTTCCCCCTGTTTGCATCGAATTTATCCAGGTACTCCGCTTTCCTCCCATATGCATGTACAGTATGTTGAACTTCTTTCACACCGCACGTAGCCCAACGTGCTAATCGGAGGTGAAACGTGTCAATTACTGGACTCGCGATACAGAAAAAGGGTAGGGGCTATTGAGTCGTGGGCAGGATTGTCGGAGAAGTATGTGGGGCCTATGATCAATAAGCAAGGCTAAGATAATTGTGAGGCCACTCGCCGTGTGTGTGGGTGCTCACTAAAAACAGGGGTTCATCATATATGTGTGTGTGTGTGTGCAGGTTAGTGGTGTTGGAAAGCAGAGACGTGAGCGAACCAGCAGGCCCTGGGAATCTATACATCCTCGCCGGTCACGAGAACAGCTATTAAGAGATGTATCATGTGAAGCAATGCAAATAAATACAAAGCATGATTGCCGTTGCTGTGTGCGAGTGCTGCTAATTTATTATGAGGTTTCACAGTACGTTATGGAACGGGAGCGTTGGTGCAATGGGTAACGTTCTCAGATTGTACCGTATCGTGAAAATGGTGTTGTGGAAACTCTACTCGCCAGGGATGTCAGCTCTGGAATTGACCTCAAGTCACCGGGTTCATAGCCCCGTGTGCGAATCATCACACTATGCCATCCCAAATTTTCTAAAAGACATGTGACTGAAATTCGCTCCATGCACAACTGTTCATAAACACCAGCTCTTACATTTACATATGTCTCCATCACTCACAGCAGGTGTATTATGTAAGAGATCAACATGCTTGACAATGCATTTTAAATTACCTTTTCCTCCCATTAAGCTCTAAGCCCGTGACTGATAGCCCGAGACACACAAGCCAAGAACGTATCTCATCATCATTATCAACAGCAGCCATGTTCTATTAAATGCTGGATGAAGGCATCCCAACGTCATCGCCATCCATCACGGTCCTGCCGATGCCACAATCCCTTTCACTCCTACACAAGAAACTGAGCTCATCGCTTCATCTCCATGGGGGTCATCCTCTCGATCCGTCGTGAATCTCGACCACTGGCATCCTATATAGGGGGCATGTCCTGCCCAAATCCACTTTTCATGACTTTCAATATGATGTACCTTGCATGTTCTCAAATAGAATGTATTTATCTTAATTTTTTTTGTATTTTACCAGGTAAGGCACATTGAGCTAAAATGCTTTTTTTCAGAAGCATATCGGCATATTCTGCATATTCTCTGCATTTTCCAGATCAACGTAATGTACACACGTCATCTATATAAATAAAGAAAATCTTAATTAATATATGTATGTCTCAAAAACCTCTTGGGTACTTTCCGACAAGGTATAAAGCTAACATTTTGTGCGTATGTCGCTGTTAGAACACAACAGGACATTTTTGAAAATCCCAGATTTTTTCATTTTAAAGCCCCTAAATCTCAATTTTAAGTGCCCCATGAACATGTTTGTGCATGTCATTCAGAAACCGTGCAAAATATCAGATTGTATTTTTTATTTGATAAAGCGTTAAACAGCAAATCCAATTAAAGCGAGAACCATTCTGTATTTTATTGTTTTTGAGATGTTTCGTATTCAAGCGGTTTTGAACGAAAAAATATGCATTTAATGATGTTAAAATCTGATTCATTCGAAAACGGTAAAATATAGGAGCTTGCCCTCATAGAGTATTATATTCATATGTTTTAGTTTTTTGAATAAAAACGGAATCTTTAAATTGAGCGGTTTCTGATTGGTATGTCCTTAAATATAAGAAGTTTAATCAAGTCGTCAACATTTTTTGTGTTTTTTGCGGAAAAAATACACATTTTTGGAGGTTATTTAAATCGTTTGCCTGGCGAAGACGGTCTTTATGAACGAGTAATGCATGTTGACTAACTGAATAACCCAACCAATAACAGGTACATGTACGGCATATTTTCAGATTAACATGATCCATTGTAATTTATATGACTACACGATATGACTACATGAATCACCCTCTGGTCTTCGCAGAGGGTGATTAATGATAGACCGAATAAAGGGGACTTCTTCACAATTCTGGCTATCTCCTGATAAAGCTGGCTTTAATCAACAGCGAAACGTCGAACAGCACTCGAATTGTAAATGTGGGTTTCCTCTCCAACGCACCAGTGTGCCGAGGTGGTAACTAATTGGCACGTTTTGTTTACGTGACGAACCTTATTGATCAGCTGTGCCGGGTGGTGGTGGGTTTTACGACACATCTATATTTACACGATCCAACCCCCCGCCCCTCCAAAAGAAAATAAAAAATATATATTATGGTTAGTCATATAAATGACAATGGATGATGTTAATCTGAGAATATGCATACAGGGACTTCTCTACTTATGAACATTCGACTTACGAATTTTCAGAGATACGAACAAACCTGTCCGAAAATTCAGTTGACTGTAGGGGTCGGCACGGTTTGGCTCAAACTACCAAACCGCGGTTTGAACCGAACCAAATCGGTTTGGTTTGGCTCTGTTTGAACTGGTTCGGTTTGGTTTGGGGCTACGAAAACCGACTCGGTTTGGCTCGGACAGGGTGGAACCGGCTCAAACTAGTTTGGTTGGTTGTAAAGGCGACACGAAAGGACATGCTGTAGTTGCCTTTGCCTGCGAATTCACTTTGCAATTGCATCTCCATGGCTCGAGCGGCTCAAGACGGCGCCATCCCCGGCGGCTCCAGCATCACAAGGTATCTCATCCACGACGTGGAAGAGACCAAACACGCCGGTAGCGACGAGGAGCCGATGGCGAGCGAACGTGAGAGCCCGGACGCCACGCGCGGCGACACGCGGCAGAGCCTCATGCGCACCCTCGGCGCCGCAGCGCTGCAGACCGCGACGCAGCCCAAGCCCAAGAAGGCCCGTGTGTCCCGAGCGCTGTGGCACGACGAGTACTTTGAGACGAGCCAGGCCACGGGCGACGTGCAGAGCCGGACCTGCAAGATCTGCACCCTCCAGTACGCGGGCTCCACCTCCTCGGGCACCCGTATCAAGCATCTCAAGACCCATGGGATCGTCGACCCCGAGTCGCCCACGGTTGTCACGTCGCCGCCGACGGGGAAGGGTTTGCTCGTGCAGTCCAAGATGGCCACGCCCATGTCAGCGCACGCGAGCAAGGCCATGGACAGCTTTGTCGCCGAGTACATCGCGACGAGTGGTCTAGGCCATAAACACGTAACATCGGATCCCTTTAAGACTCTTCTTCAACGAGCTGCCCCAGGTTACGAGCCCAAGTCTGAGCGCACGGTCAAGCGCCGCATGCTCGAGATGTATGTCGTCCTCAAGCTACTCGTGCTACAGTACTTTACTACTTTTGGCTCTTGCGTCTCCTTGACCTACGACGGTTGGACAAACGACGCCATGACCGGCTTCTTCTCGGTCACCCTCCACTGGATGGACCCGGCGTCGTTCTCCATGTGCAACTGCATCATTCACTTCTTTTGGGTGGCCCCGGGCGAAGGCGTGGGCAAGCGCATGGCGCAGCGCCTGCACGAGCTGCTCGACGACTTTGGCGTGTGGCCGCGCCTGCTCGCCGTCGTCACCGACAGCGGTTCTGACGCCGTCGCATCCGCCAAGTCCCTCATGCTCCTCGAGGGGAGCAACCTGCGCTCGACGTGCTGCTTGCGGTGCATCGTGCACTGCGTCAACCTCGGCGTCAAGGCCTCATTCGGCGCGTTCGAGACACTGCTGCGCAGCCTCCGCGCGACGCTCGGCGCTATCCGCAAGAGCAAGACGAAGAGGGCGGCCTACACGTCGCTCACGCGGCACTACCTCAAGTGCCCGCTGCAGCCGCCTTGCCTCAAAGTGGTCACACATTGGGGTAGCACGTACGTGATGCTCACGGCGTCGCTAAGGCAGTGCCAAGTGATCGACGCCATCTGCCTTGAGCCCGGCTGGTCGCGGAGCCAGGCCGACTTGTCGGACGAGCAGTGGGAGCAGGCGGCGCTGCTCTGCCAGTTCTTGGAGAAGCCGGCGGCCATCTCTGATGCCATGGGCGCCGAGGAGTACTGCACCATCTCGAACGCCATCACGGCGCAGGAGGCTCTCTTGAGCCACTGCATGACCCACCGCCCGAGTCCTCATGTGGTCGTGAGCTCGGCCGCCGTGACCATCTCCGACTACATGGTCAAGTACAGCGACCTTCTCTCGTCCGAACCAAGCCGCGTCGCCCGCTTTCTCGACCTGCGTCACCCCAAGCCCGCGGCCTCGAGCACCAAGTACAGCAATATCAAGGACATGATGACAGACATTCTCAACCAGCGCTACCCAGCGTTGACGACGGACGCGGCGCCGAAGGCGGCGCCGCGTGGCGGCATTAACATCCTCTTTGACATGGTCTACGCGCCCAACGCTCACGACGGCGCCGCCTCCGAGGTCGACCGCTTCCTGCTTGAGCCGACTCAGGACCTGAGCATGGACGTCGTCGAGTGGTGGAAGCTGTACGGCGGCAAGTACCCACGCCTACGACGCGTGGCCCTCGACTATTTGCCTATCCCGGCGTCGTCCGTGCCCTCCGAGAGAGCAAACTCGGCCGCCAAGCGCTCCTTTCTCGACCGACCAAACCTGCACAAGTGCACGTTCAAGGCCGAGATGTGTGTGCGCTCGTGGGCGCGGATGTTGCCTAGTGTTGGGGTTTCACTGCCATTGAACTACCACACTGCGTTCAAGGACATTGGGCGTGCCAAGCTTGAGGAGATGGCTGTGGACGACATCGTCGTCCAGTACTTGCTAGTGAATCTCAATATGAAGAAAGCTTGCGTAGAAATTAGCGATTAATACACTTGATATTTGTATTGAATGCGAATATTGTTTGCCGCGCATCTTTTCGGTTCAAGCCAACTCAAGAGGTTTGGTTTAGCTTAGTTTGGTTTGGTTTTGGTTTGGTTTGGTTCAGTCGTCGCTGGTTTGGTTTGGTTTGCTCAATTTGAAACCAGTTTGAGTCGGTTCAAACCGTGCCGACCCCTAGTTGACTGTTCGGACCGAGAGTCGTAAGTTCAACCGCCGTGCAATAGATGGCGGCGGTGGCATCAAAATCTGCAGAACATGAAGAACCAGTGGCATCTACATCTGCAGAACATGAAGAACCAGTGGCATCTACATCTGCAGAACATGAAGAACCAGTGTCATCTACATCTGCAGAACATGAAGAACCAGTGTCATCTACATCGGCAGAACGTGAAGAACCAGTGTCATCTACATCGGCAGAACGTGAAGAACTAGTGGCATCCACATCTGCAGAACGTGAAGAATCAGTGCAATCTACATCTACAGAACGTGAAGAACTAGTGTCATCTACATCTGCAGAACGTGAAGAACCAGTGGCATCCACATCTGCAGAACGTGAAGAACCAGTGGCATCTACATCTGCAGAACGTGAAGAACAAGTGGCATCTACATCGGCAGACCGTGAAGA